TAATATTTTTGGACCCTCATTTGAATGGTAATGTGAAGCGCAGGTGGTTCATATTTGTACAGCAGCATGAAGTGAAAAAGGGCTGGGTGAAGATGAATATAGATCAGCTGGTGTGGTGATTATTACATATTCTGTCAGCCATACAGTAATTGATACACACATACTCACAAGTCTTCTTTAAACATGTAATATACTTCCTTAGACATTCTAGTTTCTGATATCCTACAGTAAATGCACACAAGCTCTTTTGTTCTCTTCTTGTCTTTCTTCCCCCTAGACTCCATCATAGACTTTTGAAGGTTGGTTTTTAGTGAGCACAATGTGTGTCCTTGTACTTAACAGTGTAGGTTAACAGTAGGTGGCCAGTCAAAGAGCACTTAACAGCTCCCTGGTAGTCTTTAGTCATGCACACAGAAGAAGAAAAAAAGTCCAATCACCGAACTCCTACTTCAGCTATCAGATGGCTCCGTCAGCCACACATTAGCTCTTCACATGAAGGGCTCATGAATACATTTACATGTCTGGGATCATTAACTCCACGATTGTCTCTACTCTCTTCGCTCTGTCTGTAATACACTGCCATCATCTTCATCCTCCTCATTATCATCACCATCATCATGACTGTCATTATTTCCATTTTCATCATCGTCTTCCCAATTATCAACATCATCATTATCTTTTCATCTCCATGTCTGGCGCTACCATTCTCCTATTTATCGCTGCCTTCCATCATACAGCAGAACATCTATCCCCAAAAAGAATCATCAGAATAGGTTTTCAATCCCTAGGAAAATTGGGTATTGTGACAGTTTCTCTATTTTAGAATAATAGAAAAATAAAACCAATAGGATCACATTTTTATAAAAACCATTAGACCATGATCCAACCTGTCCAAGGGTGAGGAGAGAAAGCTTTTGCACAGGGTACTTTTATGGTGAGCTGTAGATTACAATGAGGGCACCAGCGTGTTGAGTTGGGCTATGGCGGTACGAATTATGTTTCACGCCAACTTCGGAATGTAAGTCACATTAATGGCATGTGAGGCCCAGAGTCCCACAGCGAAAAATGTCTGGGGAAGATATATACATTCCTTGATTGTTACAGTATGTGATTAGGTTTGCACCACCTGTTGTTTTCTAGAATGGCAACCCCCCGCCTTTAGGCTTAGTGCTCTTGGTGCAATCCCTGTCAGAACAAAAAGCCTGAAAGCCATGGATGGAAACATTGGCGTCAGAAATATCCTGGTGCAGCCATGTTTCAGTCAAGAGAGATAAGGTACATTCTAGTGATTCCTTCTGTCTTCTCCGTTAGCTCATACATTTCATTCACTAATTATCTTACGTTGCCCAAGTTGAGAGAGGGTAGACAATGCTTTGTTCTTCCTTTCTTGTTTCATCTTCAATATGTTGGACATTGAGGATGCACAAACAATGGTTTAACACATTGATAAAGACAACATGCCAGTGAGCATCATCACTTATCAACAACGTTTCCTCCTTTGAATAACACAAGTGATATCATCTTCAACAACATAATAATAGGTGTTCCCATTAAATTGTCATCATCATTCTTAATCTCATCATCTTCACATTGTGTCCTAGCGATGAGTTATTGATTGTTTTTGTGGTGTCCTAAGAATGGTGGACAACAGGATCAATCAGCGCGCCAGTGTAGCCCTGTGGTGTAGAACCTGTTAAGCTAACAAATGAACTGGTGAGGTTCAGGAAACGGCCGGTGTTTGGGTTGAAATAACTACGGTGGTTCACGAAAGTACGGGAAAATAAGATAAGATGTTAACGTCGGATTTAATTGGAACATGAACAGCAATCTCCTGGATGAAAATATTCATATTGGTGATGCTATAGCTTACCTTAAACACAAAATAAAATAGATGAGAAGATAGAGGACAAGTTGTGTGCAACTATTGCAAGACACTGATGAACTACATAAATATTTAAAGGGCCCATGTCATGGCCATGTCCACTGATCATAATTCCATTGTTGAAGTCTACTAGAATAGATTTATATTGTGCAATTTTCCAAACTCACATTGGTTTCTCATACAGCATCTCTGTAAACTACGTGTATTCACTGAATTTCACTCTCTGCCTTTAACGGCTCGTTGTAGCTCCAAAAGCTCCAGCCCCCACCCTCCCTGTGAGCACAGTGTGCTCTGATTGGTCGGGACGTTGTGAATCGCGCTGAGCTCCGTGGAGGTGTTGTTTCCTTGTTTAGGATACACAGCGAAACACAGCCAAACTCATCCTGAGCACACACAAACTCACATCCGAAGTAAAAACAATAAGTGTGGCTTGATATTGAGTAAGAAAAAGGTTGATAAACTCTGTGAGAATGGGTCTGCAGAGAGAATTTCGCCGCAATCCCAACTGTCTGTTATCAGCCTGCAGCCAGGGAGGAGAAATCAGCAGAGTGTGTGTGAGGAAGTCCGTGGATTGGTCCATTTGAACCAATCAGCGGGGGCTTAACGTAACGGCTCCGCGGACGTAACGTAACGGCTCCACGGATTGGTCCATTTCGTTCCGGGTACGGCATGACATCATGCTGTACCCGGAACGAAATGGAAGAATCAAATGGACAATGACGTATCTCCAACGAGGCGTTTTGGGGAGGTATTTTCTGTGTTAGAGTTTTACTCGCTACAGGGTGTACTTTGAGGGTTTTGACTCTGCACACCGTTTACATGCATAAAAACCTTCATAAGACACAAGGGGACGGGTAATAACCGGAAAAGCATGACATGGGCCCTTTAAGGCATGCTATTTGTTGTCAAAAAATATCATCAGCTTTACATTCATAATAAAAAGGAAACATGCATTGTTTAACACAGTCTGTACACGACCCTAAAATATGTGTATGAATTAAAAAACACGAGGCAAGAGGAGAATACATTCTGTAAAATTATGTGAAAATAATATCACGAACAGAATATAGTGAATTGTATCATTATATCCCGACTCAATAGGCTATTAGGAATGAATAAACTAATTAAAGGTCTCATAATGAAGACACTTTTTTTTAATATCGTCATTGTGCTTTTAGAGAACAGCTCCTCCATCCTCTTCCAGCAGGTTGTCTGGGCGGATCACCACCCCAACTAGATAACAGATCTTTTAATATGACTCTCTTCTCCAATATCGGAGGATTGTGACGGTGCCAGGCAGGGATATTGAGTGAGAGCTAAGAGTTTCTCCATTTCGGCTTGGCCCGCCATCAAAACTTATTAGACAGATAAATGAGAGCTGGACCTGCGTCGGAGCTGGCCTCTTTCTGTGTCATTTATTCGTCCCCTGAATACTGGCTCAATCAGATAGCGGCAAGCCTTTCACGACAGCCACCATCTCTCTGCATCTGTTGACCTGCACTGGCACAGGCGGGACTAATGTGGGCTGCTTCTGTGGCATTGAAACTGCTGTCTCCCCTTCACTTTCAAACTGCCTTTGTTAAGTTTGTTCCTATTCCCCCCCCCCCCCAGATAAAGCTCTGATCTAGAGGTCAGACTGTGTTAATGTGCCTGCACTACTCTATTTGATGTTTTGTTCCCTATAAGGATTTAAGTATAAAAGCAAATCCCTTGAACACACAACTTATTTTGTGCCCTAAAGTTTCATTCCTACATTTCATCCCACTACTAATTTCCCACTAATCTACTAATTTCCCACTAATCTACTAATCCCACTACATTTCATATCCAGTATAATTTAGTTTGACAAAAGACTTAACAATGTTATTTTCACCCGGGCTACACATTAGATACTGCTTTGGATGTTTCTTTGATAACTTCATTGTGCTTTTGCCCTTAAAGAGTGCAGTGCTTACTGACTTAATGTCCATAATGTTGAATCTCTTAACCTTTGTTAACAATATACCTTATTTCAGGCATCTAACCAAAAAAAACATTGACTTGGAGACGAGGGAACAGGAAGTGGTAAATACTTACTCATTTCCGGGTTTTAGGACTCATTCTTGCACCGCTCTGTAGTACACTTTCTGTCTCTTTCAAATACATCCTCATCTGCTTGCCTCTGTCCTTGTCTCAAACGTCCATAACTGTGCAACTATATTGCATAAAGTTGGTGATTTGTGTGGTTCAGGTGGTTTATGATTGCTTATTTTTGTGAGTCGACCAATTTGATCTAATAACAGTTCTGGTGTGTGATACAAAAACTCTTACCCCTGCATCACTGGTTCCTGGTTAACCCATAACACACAGTTCATGTGTCCATCATAGAGTGGCACATAACGCATCTTGATTGTGTCAATTTTCTTGCAATATCTCTGGAAATATTGATGGTTTTATGGCCCTTTAGATGGATGCTTGTGTAAAATGTGCAAGTGGTAAAGGTTATAAATATTTATACAATTCAGAGACTTATTTAGTAATTTTAACACATTTACACATTTATAATCATTTCTTATATCCTGTTTTATGTTGTCATTACAGCTCATTGAGTGTCATTTATTCAACAATTAAGTGTGTAGGGAAAAGATCTGAAAGGATCCAATTATATATATTATGTAACTTTAAGAAACAGAACCACCGCCAATCAAACATTCCTTTTCACATTACACATCTGTGTGTGTGTGTGTGTGTGTGTGTGTGTGTGTGTGTGTGCGTGTGTGTGTGTGTGTGTGTGTGTGTGTGTGTGTGTGTGTGTGTGTGTGTGTGTGTGTGTGTGTGCGTGCGTGCGTGCGTGCGTGCGTGCGTGCGTGCGTGCGTGCGTGCGTGCGTGCGTGCGTGCGTGCGTGCGTGCGTGCGTGCGTGCGTGCGTGCGTGCGTGCGTGCGTGTGTGTGTGTGTGTTTTCCTCAGACCCTGACTCAACTCCAAATGTATTCCTTATATAAACACATCCTTGACCAGTTTCCTGTATCCATGGCGATAGGAAGTGCTCTCCAATCACATCTCTGCATGGAGTGTAAGGGAAGTGCACTGTTTCCTGCTGTTTTCACCGGCTTCCTCCCATTGGTGCGTGCTCAGGACTTCACATTGGGTCCTGGAAAGCAACACAGTTTGTAACCAATGCTCTTCTAATGTTATTTTGTTTTGTTAGATTTTTTCACAAATTTACCAACTACAACCCCGTCACATTTAATCGAAGTAAGTCGCACATTTCTCGTTGTATTTTCAGAGTCAGTTAAAGTTTAAAGGTTTTAGAGAGCATGTTTTTCTTTTCTTTATTTGTGTTCACTGATTTAAATTACAAAACACTAAGACCACTCTCTCTGTTTAACTCTCTGAAAACTACAATACATTCAAACACATTGAGAGTAGTAGTCAGTTAAGGCCTGGTTATTGCTATAATTATAATAATTTGTGGTACAACAACCCTTTGACTAAAAGTGCTGATGATTTCAAACTATTCTTTTGATGTATGTCTTCTGTAACACAGCAGAAAACCTGTGTAATGTGGCAGCAAAGGAAATTAGAGACTAGTTAGAAAACATCGATATAAATAATGTAATTTATTTCTCATAAACCTTCAGAGAATAATCCGCTGAATCTGCATTTACCCTGTTAAATGCACCCCTGCACTGACTAACAAATTGCGATTCTATGCTCCTGTGCCTTTTTTCACATATTTAAATTAATAAAAATATAATATGCAAACATTGGATGAAAAATGTGCCTATCTATTTATATGCAAATTATTCTCAATGCAAAACACTCCTGTTCAGCAAGATCAGCGTTAATAGCCACATGCTGTTACAGTGAAGTTATTAACATCTTAGAAACAGAGCTATACCATACTACCATACGTAAAGGCAACATTTATACTTTGCCAGATGGATAGTAATTGCAAACAGACGCGAAAAAAAGGCACATTTCCCTCAAACAATTGCAAAACTGTTATGGGTGTGTTGGTAAGACGGGGAGGATACAAATGGAAATAGTGTGTAATTCCCAGATCTATAAGCGGCATTCTTTGTTAAGCTTTTTATGTTTGAAGCTTCATTTTGAAAGATGTATTGATTGACAGCCTTTTCTGTTACAGAGCACCTACAGTAAGGCATCGGAAGCTGCCACATCGGAGACACCTGTTCACGCTTCTCAGAGTGTGTTCCACATGTGGAAATAATTTACACCAAACAACACTCCATCAATCTTTCCCATCTGGATGAAACCTGGCAGAGATGCAAGCTGGTTATCAGGTAACCAGCATCACCCGTCTCCAGATCCCTCCCACACCTGAGACTCTCCTCTTCCAGGCCATCATTAACCCTAAGAGAGGTATGGAGGGACCACTGCAGACGCCACAGCCCCCCAGGACCTGCGGCTCTCCAGGGGGTTCTGGGAGATCCTGCTGGAGCCTGGATGCGCGGATAGCTGTTCTTCTGGTGGCTCTTGCAGGAGCTTTAATACTGCTGCTGCTCTACAAACTCTTACAGCTGAGACACAGGTGTGTACATTTCGGAGAGTAATACGTGAATCAACAAGTACTTAATTACCAAATTCTGATACGTTACAAGTCACCAAACTTCTAGAACAGCCTCGTTTCACAGAGAAATGTTAAATGACGGCAATCTCTAACAGCATCTTACTTGTTGCTAACAAAATAATGCAATGATGAGCTGAAATACTGTGCAACCTTATCTAAACTAAAACAATTATTTAGAAACCAAACCCTGACTGGTTAGGAGCAGGACCTGTGAACTCATGCTTGCTATTTCTTGTCGTTGTAAAAGTTATTTGTTTTTGGTCGTTTTGTACAAAGAAAGGATTTGTTTAAAACAATAAATCAAATATCACGGAAGTTGATGACGATGACCTAAACTTTTATTTTCATGAACAATGTATGCAAGAGGGGGACCAGAAATGTGTTTAAGCTTCTTCTTGCCCCTTTTAAACATGACGGAAACTATTTGAGAATTTATTTTCTATTTTTTTATACCTTGTGCGTTTTATTATTTACTTTGTTATAATTATTATTGATTTATTTTGTTTTGTTTCTAACATGTTCAATAAAATTGACTAATAATTTTAAAAAATGCACAGGGAAAGTCAATTAGGATCCTGTCATGGTCGACATGCAATTCCCAGAAATACGTACTTTTTGGTGTATCCATTCCTATTGATTTTTGAACTTGTACAGTGCCAGGCTAGCTGCTTCCAGTCGTTATGCTAGGCTAGGCTAACTCTGACTCCACCAAAGATCAACTTGTGCTGACTTACGTCTTGTTGGTTTGTGTTGTGTCCTGCAGGCTGAGTATGGCACGGGCGAGGCACGCGCTGGAGTACTACAGCTTCTACCACAGCGCCACCTACACACTCAAACACGCAGCGTCATGTCAGGAACTACCAGACAAAAATGGGACGGTCCTTGCAGGTAGACCACCACCTTTACAAACTGTAACCCTGGTGACACCCACTGTCATCGCCCCACTACCGCCCCCACCACTGCCACTCCCCCCACCTCCTGCACTGCCTTCGCCTCTGCTCCACACCCCACTTTCTCTCACTCCAACACCTTCAGTCCTGGCCTTCCCTCTCCACCTGCCTGGGACCCACACCACCCCGCCGAGCCCTCACCTGTCCTGGGGCGCCTGCTCAGACGCAGATATATACTCTCGGATCGGAGCTTTCAGGCCCTCCAGGCTCTCCAGCCTCTCCAACCATTCAAAAGTCATCCTATTCGAGCACTCTTCTGTCTGACCTATGATGCAAAACAAGACTGGAGATAAAAACATTTGATAAAACTGCAGTAATTACCTAAAGGGAGTTGTAAGAAATGTTCTTCTAATGGACTGATAATCACGCAAGTTGATGATTAAGTGTTGGCTTAGAGTGATCTATACTAAATAGACAGTATACTGTGTACTTATTCCTATTCAAAGTTCAGATACTTTAAGGGCAATCCAAAACCTTGCGTTTTTGTGAGACATTCAATTTGTTTATGTACTATCCATTTACAATTACCTTACTTTGTGCCAGACCTCTGCAATTTCCAGTTCAGACTGGTGGAAGTTAAGAGAACTGAAGACTTTATATAATGTATCACAACCTTATATATTAGTTGTGAGGCAGTCCTGAGGTTTGCATTGTTGGCTTAACTTTATTTGTTTTCTTACATGCTGATAATATAATTCCTAAATTATAGTGTCTTCATTTTCACAGTGAAGTCATTGTAGCAGAGCCCATTGTTTCGCCAAATGGGGGCATTTCCTCAGCTGGTTTTCCATGCAGTGGACCCTCCCTGTTTCACACCATCCTCTGTGTTTCCTCTGACTCTCTCTGTAGGAATCTTACTCTTCAGTTCCTTCACTTACAGTCTTTAATGATGACTCTGAAGATGTCCTTTTATTCCAGCGAATGTCACAATTTCAGACGTGATTCATAAGTTGTTCAATCGTCTCTTAAACACATTCAAAGTCACATTACAATTAATACAGGTTAAACTTTAGAAAAAGGGGCTCCTTATAAAACAGATAATAAGCACAGATTGATATTTTTCTTAAGTAGCCCCGTAGACAGACAGGTAACATCTGTCTGTTGTTGATCTGGTTTCCACCTTCGCCCTAACAAGCTGTTAAAATGAATTTTCTTTGAATATTTAACCATGTTTTCCCAACAGGCCTCTCATTTATAATTCAACAATAGTTTGCAAATTCATGGGGGAGGCTGTTTAAGTTGATGCTTGTTTGTTGCTTTCTGCTTGCCGTGGTAAGAACTGAGACCTTTTGTGACATTCTCCCTTAGTCTTTTTCTGTATTTATGTCTGAAAGTAAGGCCAATGTCTCCATACTAAAAGCCAGTCAATTCAATCTGTGCATGTAGTGCTCTGTCGTCTCTTAATTGGTTGTAAGCCGAGCCAGGGAAGACAATTGAAACAATGCACTGCTGCTGCAATTAAATAAAACAAAGGAACGCCATGCAAGGTTGAATATGAATGTGTTTGTGTTCTGGATCAGATTAATATTAATTGAATGTTGTTATCTCCGAATGATATGAGTAGTATTTTAAAATGCTTCATACAGCATTGAAAATATATCTGAATCAACTGTCATTGTATTGTTTATGAAATGCACATTTTAATCTTTTTATTCAAATAGATTTTTTCTTCTTGTATCATTAGGAGTAGGATGGAGTTTAAAATAACTACAAGGCGAATTTCAACTGGTCATTTGAATATAAATGCCTTCTATAAGCCTTTATAAGCAAGTAGGACTATCAAATGGACTATGTACATAATCATTCTTAATGCATACCCCCACTGATACTGGGGCATGATTAGCTAAGAGAAATCTAAAAAGAATGGCTAAAGAACAAAAAAGCAAAAATGGACAGCGATACAGCTTGGCAGAAAAAGAAACACCTGGTTGTCAACTTTTGAGAGGCGCTAAATTAAAATGTACCCTAACCTTTACCACTCAATGTCAATGCCTAAACTTAAAGTGGACCTATCATGCTATATTTGAAAAATATATTGTAGGGCCATACCTATATAAAACATGTCTGTGAAGTTTTTTTTCAAAATACCAAACAGATCACCCATTGTAGCCATCCCTCATACTGCTCAAACCCCTCTTTTGAAGCCCTGTTAGAGAAACGCAGATTTTGGGTCCTTAGCTTGAAAAAAATAAATAAGAGGAGGCGGAGCTAATGCCTGATCAGAATTCTACCGGAGATAAAGTTAAATTCGGTTGTGATATTTCGCCATCCTGTTTAAACCACGTCAAGGATTATTTCTGAAATAGTATGGAGCTCAAATGCTTTTTCTCTTGCGGGTTTATCACAAGGTGAGTTCTTTTTTTATTTCCTGCTTTTTAAACACATGTGCTCTACAGTACAGGTTAGCTCTGAGTGTTAGCGAGGCTTGCTAATGTAAACAAAGACGTCCAAAACACGTCAGGCATTGTTTCTGATAGCAACTTGCTGTGGGTCCGTCGCCGATTTGACGTCAGATCGGATGGAATCTGTATCCGCTCGTTGTACACCCGTTTTTAAAAGATTTGGGTACGGAGGAAAAGAGAGAGGGTTTTATTTTCTGACGCTGCGTGGGTTCCCCGACGCACCGGGGACACATATTTATGTATAAAAGACATCACAAAGTGCATTTTGCATGATAGGTCCCCTTTAACCATATTGCGAAAGTTTCACAAATCAAGGCATACCATTTTGACACGACCATAAATGGATTAAAAGGAATCCGAACCAATCCTAAAATCGCCCTCTTATCCTAGATTGATATAAGTGTTTTTTTCTCCAGGACTTTTTAGCTGTGAGGGTGTTTTTTTTTGTAGCTTTGGGGTTCAAAGCTGGATGCTGGCCACCAGACTTGCATGACTCCGGGCGGTGGTGTTTGCGCTAGCTGAATTTGGTTTTCTACGGCCACTACCTCAAGGTTTGCGTCTTCTGTAACCAACACAAGCTCTCCTCCCTGCGAAGTAGTCTTCATTTGTTGTACAGCACTAGCTTGCTAATTTTGTTTGTCTGATAAACAGTCAATTCATCAACATTGAGTGCCTCTATATCGATATTTTCCAAACTACTAGCTGTTATATTTTGCGGTCCACCATTGCAAAATGTGTTTAAAAAATAAACCGATTGCGAGACAAGCGTTGGTCGCAAAAACAAAGCTTGCTAGCATTAGCTTAATGTAGCTAACATTAGCAAACAAATGTAATAGCAAAAAGCTAAGCCGTGTTAAACCTAGCTTTGTGTGCTAGGAAAGAAGCTGAGTCCTCACAAAGTATGTCCCCGCAAGATGGTGAACTCTAATAAAAGCTGTACTAGAGGAACATGCAGATGAATCACTTATTATTTAAATAAATGTCAACGTTTTTTTTCAGCAGACACAGTTGACTGACAATTGACACTTCTGGTTCATACATTTGACCAGGATTTTCTGTAAGTGACGGTTTGTTCCAGAAGCTCTTGACTCAAATTGCAGATCCTTAGTAATTGCATCTGTCCGCGTCTCATTCTCTGCACTCTGCAGCCAGTGAGAGGAAATGCTCGTTGTTCCAATTGCCCGTAGTGTTGTCATCTCTGCGTGATGCCACAACAACTCCCTTACCTTGAAAAATATCAAGAGATGGGAAGACAGAAATAGAATAATGGGTGTTTAGATTGCCTCACTCACACTAGGCAGCACTGTCTTACCCTGGGCATGATCTTTACGGGAATTGAAGCCTTCATTTAAGCACATTACCTTTGAAAACAAATTGCAGTGTGTCCTGTGCAGTGTTGCACAGGACACACTGTGCTCGCTGCACATTTTCCCGACTTTTAAGTATGGGACAATGCATTATAAGCCAGGGTGTCATTAAAAAAGTATTACCAAAAGGTCCTTATATTGCTAACAGAACAGAAAATAATCACATTTGAGAGTCGACCTAACTTTGTTTATCTGTATTTCTTATGCCTTTTTATTTGCAACTTTCATCACACTCTCAGTAAATACAATGATCTGAAACATGCAGACCAAATGATGACTTTGTTCAGTAAACTTTTATCTTCTTGTGCGTAAATCAGCTGGAGAAGAGAAGGAACACCTGCACAAGGTAAAAATACAACAGCACAACAAACAATGAGCCTCTGTTTGATGTCCCACTAAAAAATGAATGCACAAACAAAGTGATGGCACGGGTTCAATCGGGTCAGGTCCAGGAAGCCAAAATCAGACCAGGCTCTAAGACTTATGAGAGGAATGGAAAGAAAAAGGACAAAGCTTGTGCATGAGCAAAGACATTGAACAACAATTTGAACACTAAAGCCAGACCATGACTACTGAAAATATATATTTACTTTTAATGCAGTTGACTTATAATGTGAGGAAGAAAGTCGAAGAGCAACTGTATAGTTTACTGTCGTCTGTAAAGCTCACTCGAACAATGCAGCTATTAAACAGTTTTATGTTAGACTGGTCAGTTGTCGAGATGTTTTGGTCTGCACAAAATTGTTTGGTGATCTCACATATGCGTTATTACATGAATAAATATAAGCTCTTCTGAAGCTTTTTCCCAATGAACTTACATTTTGGATTGATTGAAAATATACTGTATTTTAATGTTTACAATTAAATATACATATTATACTTTTTTAAATCATCAAGTATCTGTCTGGCCTACATTTTCCATCGTTCCGTTCCAAGGACACTAAAATGAATAGGCTGAAGCATCACAGATTGCACCAAATTCGATTTGAGGTCATCTCTACAGTATGAAAAGATTCTGGCTCATGCTACCAAAATGATTAGAAATATGCTGTAATGACATAATAATTATACATGCAGGGACTCTGAAACAGAGCATCTAAGGCACCACTTTGAATTCCCCCCTTGTATATGCATCACATATATGTTGACTACCTAAAATGTAATGTTGTTTCCTTCCAAAAGAGAATCTTCCTACTCCGCTGTTTGCCTCTAAGCGTGTTAACAACAACAGTTCCTAAAAGAAAACCAAGCAGGGTTTATCTCTGCGAGGCTGTGAGAGCCCGTAACGTAATTCCTCTGACAGAAAACACCACCGGCGTTCGCTGCGAGGGAAACATGACTGATCAGTTCAAGAGCGTATGGCTGAAATGTAATCCACACTCTTCACCTCCTCCAATATGCAGGCTTATTTACCGCCAAGTGCACTCAGAGGAATTCTCTGAGGAAGCGTAGACAACAAACCTCGAGACTTCACAGGCATCAGCAATCATACATTCAAACAGTGGTACAGTGATTTAGAGGGGTTAGTTATGCCCTGCACATTTCCAAGTGACTTTTTGGAATTGGCAAAGTTTGATGGTTTTGTCAGCCGATTGTGTTTGTCTTCAAGAGGATATTTTCTGTTGTTTTGAGGAATTATCCTCTGAAATCTCTCTTGTCAAAAAGACAAATCTGACTGACAAATCCTGTTGTTAGGAGGGACTACAACTTTAGACAGCATAACAATTGTGTTGTGGATGAAATGCATCAAAACAGATTGTAACTTCTGTCTCTTTGTGACAGCAGTCATCACCATGGTGCCACGCTGCAGAGCAAAAGTATTATTTGGATGTACAATAAATCCTATATGCAAGTGTAAAAATGTTCTTTAAAACTCATTTTTAATACTTTATCACACTTTGTTGGTAAGATTATTTCACAGCCACATATTTTTGCGCATTGCTTTTCTGAAGAACACTTAAAAAGCAAACTGTGTTTTTCTGTCCTGAACCATTTTGTTTATTATTATTGCTCATATCATACATTTTAAAGCACCATTTATGAAATTGTGCATTTTACATCAAACCTCTGCTCATGTCAAATTGTGTTTCCCGCTTAATTATTTGCCACAAAATGAAGAAAAAATAATAAAGAAATATAGTAATTACTGTCTTTTTTAACGTACTGCTCATGCGTTGTTTTAAGTAATATCTGGGGCGGTAGCTTATGGAGGGTAAAATCTGCCAAAAATATAACTGACTCAACTAATATGAATGCTCTGGATCTCTAGTGGTTATCTTTGTAGTTTCAGAGTTGCATGAGACCTTGATTTTATACCGCAAGTTCAAGTTTCAAATAAGGTCTCACTAAAATGAATGGGGACTAACATCATCACACCTGGAGGAGTGCCGTGAGGTAATTACATTATTAAATTAAATGTATCTTACAAACTTGTACTTTTATTCAAAGAGTTATAAACTATGAAAAAACTACTTCAAAACAGCAAGAATCCTGAGAGTACACTAGCTTTCAAAAAGCCAAAACCAAAAGTGTTAAATGTATACAGAAGTGGGAACTGTTTTTTTTTCATTGACCCCAGTGGGTTTTCAGACTGCAACAGAAGAGGTGTCGACCTTCTGCTTTCCTGATATTAAGAAGAGTGTAAAGAGGTGTTGGCAAAAAATACACGTTGTAGGCTAATTGTTTTGGGAGCTATCCGTACAGTACGCTAACTTTCTCCCTCTAATTAAAGTTGAGCCTCTGTTTCTGTGTGTACCTGTGGGTCAGGTCAGAGAGTAGAACAGCTGGTTGCTCTGAATACGTTCTGTGTCTCGATGTGTTTGGTTAGCTCCATGAGGAATCAGTTTTCCGTGGGATGTGCTTTTATATTCTTGCCTTGTTACCGGGTGAGATGCAGAGAAAAGCTTTAATGCAATCAATGTTTCTCCAGATGTGAGAATGGTTACCATGGCCTGGATTTAGGAAGGGCCTGAACCATAACCAGTGTAATTTGTTATAAGTAGCGTGCACTATGAAGTGTAAAGAATGAGAACACTTTGAGAAAAATAGTTTGTTCTTTGACACTTGGTGGGTGTATTCCTGGGACCCAAGGGTTGGTATTTGGAATTGTGTCACAATTATTATTGGTAAATCTTAGAAAAATCTCACTGGTCACCGTCTTGAGCTTCAATATCAGGATACATGTATGTATTATCCTCTCAAGAATGGAAGTAGTCATCCCATACAGAGCATTTGGTACAACTAGTTCCTGAACAGTGTCTTTCACATGCTTCCTATTTAGTATAATAAAATATTCAAACACACCACAATGCCGCAGCATGGCACAGGCACTGCACTAGTTGTCAACAAAATAATGTGAAACATGTATTTGCCATACATTTAGACTGCTCCAAACACCTACTGTAAGAAAAAGGATTGTCCTAAGGCATTTATAAGTTTGTGGCCTTGGGAAAGTGGGAACGACAATAAAATCCCTCCAAACTACAGAAGTCTATTCAATGTGTATTACTTTTGATATCTAATGCTATCATTTTCCCGCTTCCATTCACTGAGCCTACCCTCAAACAGTTTTTGCCCCCTGAAGAGACTCGTCTTTGAAGTCCTCCGAGAGCGCAAGTGTCCTGGGGGAGTTTACGAGGTTGATATTTAACTCAATATATCGTATAGTTTGAAAGAAGGGCCAGAACAAACTGAGACAGAACGTATGATACTGTGGGACTATGGGAGGTCATTATAATAACCTTTTTGGGTTGTTTCTTCTGTGGAACCAGCTCCATGTTTGCGTACTTCAATGACAGAACTGTAGATAAAGGTCCACCAATATGAGTTCAACTATAGGGTATTGGGTTTTAAATAATTCTCATTTAAGTTATTAGAGCCAGCAAATTGGCCGTACCTGTTGCTACTCCACAAGGTTTCCCTGTGTATTGAGGAGTTTCTTTGAGAGTGTTTGCCCTATACGCTGCAGGGTTTAAGGACAGAAGGTGTCATATGCTGAGACACATGTCAAGTTTGTGAGTAGTTGTTTCTGTATGGATTTGGCATTGCAACTGACGGGACATTGGTTCAAGTCCAGATCGTACCAAAGAAATACACCGTGTTAAAGCTGGAGATGTAACAGTTCATCTGACTGCTGGGGTGTCCTTGAGCAAGAAACCGAACCCCAAACTGCTTTGCTGGTGCCCGAAAACCTCCATAATAACAAATGCATGTGTTTTGTGCAAATGTGTTTTCAGACCTAATGTGTATAGTTTCCCTTGGGGATTAATAAAGGGTATTTTATACACATTTTAAGAAAAAACACTCAAAAAAGGTACATTAAGAGAGGCCGAGGACACACTTTACTGTATCATGTTCTGTGTAAAGAATCAAATCCACACCTGCGTATTGTGGGCCAGCTGCGGGCCCCTCTCACACACCTCTGTCTCCTCGGGCCTTTGATCAGGTAATTGCCCCTTCGGCCCCTTCAGAGTTTGCATCCACCATATGTCGCTATGACAACAGCATCCATCTGTGTGCCCCATTCACTGCCTCCTTAAGATGGACTTATATGTTATGAAGCTGTGAGCAAAAAGGCACTACAAGCACCCCCCGACCCCTTCATCAGCCACCTTTCTATCACCGCTCTATGTATGTGGTTGTTTTCCCACCCACCACTCTGACACTCTGTTGGCGTCACCCCCTGGAATGATGAAATGCTCTTTTTTTCTCGACTGTAATAAAGATTGCCTTTGTTTTACAAGATAAAGCAGATCCACCCGCACGAGATGAGAGGATCAGAGTGCTGGTGGGGCTCGGAGGGGGACGTTGTGGGGGCTCGTGGTGCTGTTTGAAGACACTTTGAGGAGGGTGAGACATGTTCATGGACAGCAAGATCAAATTCTCTGAGGATTTTAAGAGAAGAACTTACTGTACGTCCCCCTGTGATTCATTTAGATTCACAAATATTAACCCTGTATCATCGAGATGTTATCCTTATATTTCCCTTTAAGTAACTCCACGGTAATTAAAACCTTTTTTCTGCTGTCTGCCGCACATAAATTGTATTTTTATTGTTTTACCCAGATATTTCTTGAAGCTTTATGAAGTTAACATGGAGAGAAATGTTTTCATCAAAGACGATGCTTCCACGGCTGCACCTTTTTTATCCAAATGAAATATTTTAGCTGTTTTAAGAACCTTCTTTGGACTCATTTCCTAGAAATTAGGCTTTACATTTGGACAAAAATAATTCCTAATACAGATATGTTGGTTCGAACAAGGCTTACCTGCATGACATGAGGTTTTAGACAACCAACCAATCGGTCAATGAGGTGCGAAAAGGTTATAGCTACACAGGAATAACAAAAGAAATCCATATCTGGAAGCTTCACAGTGACATCCCACACTGTCTTTTCAGCTTCCTCTGGAAAATTGCGTATTCTGTGCCTTGCTTGAGAAAAATGCAGTACAGGCAATTCTGTTTAATGTCCTGGTTTTCATGCACACCCATGAGTTTCATTCCGGTGACAATTATCTGCACGAAAAGAATACAAATCCTAAAGAATAAATCACACAGAGACGACAGTGTGGGTGTTGTTTCATATTTCAGTGCTGTTGTTAAACACCATTTCAGTCTTTAAATGAGAATATATATGGAATTGTGTCTAAGCTTTAGCTAAATGCTGTGAATGAATGTAAGCCGACATGATAAGTGCTGCTTTTTTGGCTCCTTCAATTCTAATTATTGGAGTAGCCTCCTTTTAGTCGATTAGTTGTCTAATTGGTTGAAGATCTTTTACGGATCTGTTGATTAAATCTAATCGATTAGTCGACAAAATTGTGTGTTTTATTTGAATTTCTTTGAGTTCAGGAGGCAATACAGGAGTGGAATTGACACGTCCACCATAATCAAGTATGTGGACATGTGGAAAAAAATGTCATTATTTACACATTATGTTTTTAACTATTTAAATTGTGTTTTGGCTGTATAATGTACCCAATTTACAAGCGGGCACAGTGAGTCAACAGATGTCTCAACTGACTATCAGTGCCAAATCCTAAATTAACAATGATAAAAAAAAATAAAAACAGCAAAGAGTTGACATGTATATTCCTAAATGACTTAAATAATTAATCGACTATCAAAAATGTTATCTGTTAATATTTTTGCTGAATAATGTTTCCTTTTTAACAATTATGTTTTCACTTATTTTAGAACCATAACATTTGCAAGATTTCAAAGCATACATTTGTACAATGTCCTACATTTAAAAAATCATGACTTCCGAAAAAATATGTGAAAAAGTAATTCTTTATTGAATATTACAGAACAGGATGAGGAACATGGAGCTTAAACGATCACAGCTTTATCTATGCATAGGCTACAGACATCTCTGGGAATATTTCCGTACTGAAAACGATGGAGATGATCGACAGTAATCATTATTATTATTATTATTATGAGCCCTCGTTTCAGTTTTAGCCACATTATAACAATCTCTTTGTCCCACTTTCTTATAGGCTGTTGGTTTTTTAGGGCTGTCACCTGGATGTCCATCACGGTCTGCAGAAATGACACTTGATAATTTTCTTGAAAGCGCTCTGGAAGTCTTTGTTGAAGTATGCGTAAATGATGGGGTTGAGCAAAGAGTTGGAGTAGCCGAGCCAGTTAATGACATCCTCCAGCCAGCGGGGCATGTAGCACGACTCCTGGCAAAATGGCATGACCAGGGCTACGATGAAGAAGGGCAGCCAGCAGAGGATGAAGGTGCCCATGATGATGCCCAGAGTCTTCACCGTTTTTCGCTCCCGTGCCATCGCGATCTTCCTCTTCGCCTCTGTCGCCTTCTCGTGCCTGTTCTCGAACAGCGGCACGGAGCTGGGGGTGTTGGGCAGCGGCAGGTTGCCTTTGGAGTTGCTGTGAACTTCGATGATCTCCAGAGACTCTCCGTCCTCCGCGTGCTTCACCGCACCGTTAACACTAAGCAGTGGCCGGGGCTCCACGCTCCGTTTCCAGCTCTTGCCATGCACATCCCCTGGACTCTTTTTGTGAAACAGGGCTGGGGATAGTGCCAAACACGAGTTGGCAACTTTCTTTTTCTCCGTTTTACGCACAGTCCTCCTGATGCGAAACCTGGCTGCTTTGAAAATCCGCCCATAAAGAACCAACATGAGTATCAGCGGGATGTAAAAAGCCCCGAAAGTTGAGTATATTGTGTACCAGGGGTCTTGCCTGATCTTACACTGCTTTGGGTTCGCCCTGTCCTCTGCCATGCTGCTGGACTGGGAGCGCATGATTAACATCGGTGGCACAGAGATGGAGAATCCCACCAGCCAGGTGACGCTGATGAGGACCGCGGCTCTCCTCGGTGTCCTCTTCTTCATGTACTCTATGGGCTCCGTTATCGCCCAGTATCTGTCCAAGGCGATGGCGCACAGGTGGAGGATGGACGAGGTGCAGCACAAAACATCCAGAGAGATGAAGATGTCGCATGGGATCTGCCCGAGTGTCCACCTGTTTAGCACCTGGTAAAGCGCCGCCATGGGCAGCACCAGCACCGACACCATCAGGTCTGTGACAGCCAGAGAACCGATCAGGTAATTGGCAACATTCTGGAGAGACCGCTCCAAGGCGATGGCTGCAACGACGCACGCGTTCCCAAATATTGCGCACAGGATGAGCGCCACGAGCACAAGGGATGCGACTATTTGATAACTCAGCTTCACCTCCTCGTCTTCAGGTGTGAGGGTTTTGTTGCTGGAAGAGTTGTCAAACTCAGGCCAGGCGGTCGTGTTGTTCGCGCCCTCCATCGTTGGTTGGGTTTGGAGAGCTTGCTGTTACTTGATGGAGAGCCCGGTGCGCATCACACCGTGGCACCTTGAAGAGCGCATAGTGGACTGTGGGACTGCCTCGCGCAGCAGAGAGAGTCTGAACTGTGAGTGTCGGCTGCTCACGGAGAATGATGCTGCGTATTTATACCAGTGATGGAAAATGCGTCATGTTTCTGTGAGGATGGAGCACCGTTTGGCGGTTTGGGTCCGTTTAGTCTGCAGCTGAGGCAGAGGAGATGCGGGAATTATCAAAAAATATATTACAGAACCACAATATTTTCATTTAATAGTAGGCCTATATATCATGTTTGTTCCTCTTAATGCTTCAACTTTTTTAAAGTATAATTGTTGTGGATTTTGCGATTTAGAAAAAATAAACTTTGAAATATTTCCTTTTTATGTCAAATGTAACTTTTTGAGTCTCATTTTAATGGTGTTGGTGAAGTGAACTGATCTGTTTTGCATCGTTTGTCTAGTTATAGTTATAATACTTATACAAAAGAAGAAGAAAAAGAAGGGAAAACAACAATCAACAGTAATAATAATAATAATAATAATAATGATAATAATAATACAACAATTATAATAGCCTACATTATTATTATTTTGGTTTTTGGAATTTCCTATGTGCAATAAACAACTTTGTTTGTAATTAATAGAAAACAATTCAAAAGAAAATATAATGATTTATCGTTTACCTTGTTCGCAGTAAGTATATTGTTTATTCTCACATTTTAAATACCTTTTTTACAAAGTATTGAAGCGTAATTTTCTTTTACCAGCACCACGGTCAGCGCTCTTTGTCCGCCAGGTGGGACACTGCCCCCTTGCGTTGGTCCACTTTCATTAAAATTATTAAATGGTGAGGCTGTCCTTTATCATTTCAAGTGAAACTAACCATTTTTTTTAAGGATGCAGATTTACAAATACAATGACCACTATGTCAAACCAGTGTGCAGTAAACAACACATGTTAATAGAAGTAATTTCTGTAATTCTGCCTAATGAAAGTGTCTAAATGTGTTCAACATCATTCTGGTTGGCCCAAGCTGAAGAAAGCACTGCCGGTTAATAAAATGAACTGAATGCGAAAAGAAAATGTATGTGGATCATGAGTGTACACATATTCTTGGAATAATGTATTGTTTTTTTAACCACCCAAGACGTCCGTGTGCATATGATAATGTTTTATTAATTTAAATATCAAACAAATAGGTTCAAAATGATTAATGTTGTCTTGTTTTTTTTTTAAATAAATAAACGAACCAGTCAATAAACTCATTAAAAACAAACGGATATCCTAGTTTTGGTCTGTTAGACTTTCCGTAGCGTCCCAGTTCTCATGACGTCACAGCCTTACTTAAAGCGAAAAGGCTGCTCAACTTTTATTGTTTCTTAACAGGTTTTCTTCGTTACAAGGTCCTAAAAGAATCCCCAGCTGTCAGCAAGGCGAGTATGTTTATTAAATATACTCACATGCTGATTGTCATTATCTTAAGAATGTTATGTCTTAGTGAAAACATGCAAAAGAGAGTCTGTTGTTGTGGAGCTAAATTAGCAACACATTGAATTTAATTATTCCACTGAGGACTATGTAGTTTAGCTTACATGCAAACATATTTAAGACTGTAGCTTAGTTTATGTAGTTCTAATACTGACGGAAATCCCTTGCACTAAATAAACACCATGACTAGGCTCGTAGCTTAATAATGGAGTTTCAACAGGCTTTACAGCAAAGTAGCCTACTCTATATTTGTATTCTATTATAACTAAGTCCATGGTTTGAGCCAATGCATACAACAGGATGTGTTCCTCTTTGAATCCTAAAGGAGTTCACTCTAATAATAACCACATCATTATTAATGTAATGGTATATGCTGGTAAACATGGTGCACAGTGTGTAGCATCAGGTTACCTCATAGCTGATGCAAATAACTGTCTCGCTGCACTGACTTGTCTCATACCTGTCTCATAGCACCTATTTTTAAATAGCTGTCTAGCCTTGGGTTTGATAAGCAACACGTCTTTTTGAACATGGTTTACTTTGTTTGTCTTGGACCAGGGCTGCAAACTACATCCAGTCTATTAAATCACTTTTTATAACATATTGTATTCATGTTTTATACTTTTTATTTGTTTTAGTTGCTGTTTTTTTGGTATATTTTACCCTCTGTGTGTTTTAAATATTTGTATGTGAAGGCACTTTGTAACTCAGTTGAAAAGGTGCTATATCATTAAATAACATTGTTATTATACTATTACTAATGTCATTTATGCGAGAGTCACATGCAAAACAAAGTCTATAAAACCTGATGCATGGTGTGTCAGCATTTCTGGAAATATTCCTAGTAAATAGAGCTGAATGGCTATAAATCAAAAAAGACAAATTCATTATAACTAACTCTGACATAAACCTAAAGAAAGTGTGTGTTAGTGTCGCTGTGTGTTCAGTATCTTCATCATCAACAGCTGGACCGTGACCTCAGATGTCCCAAAGAGAGAGGACCATGCTCCGCTGCAGGAGGTGTCGGAAAGGTGTCGTAGACTCCACCTGTTTGTCAACGGTTGGTACACATTTTGTGCATCTTATGCGTTTCTTATGTGTTTAGCAACTTGATTTGAGATGTGTTCGCATGCATTGTCTTTACTCCACTGCTAGGTAAGCTGCTACAGAGCTTGCATTCAAGGAATTGTTGAATAGTTATAGCTCATGAAACAATATGTTGATTGATAATTTTGCCTTTCACAACAAATGGAATCTTTTTCAGTGGTTTAACACATTTCACAATCAAGAATGTATGACTTATTGGTCAGTATTTATATATGACCAATAAGGTTACATTACAGTCCAGTTTAGAATAGAAAAAAACAATATCTATGGCAGTTGTTGCACATAAAAAGCATTGAGAACCCAACATGACAAATAATCCTAACAACATTAGTACTAATGTATAATTTTCCTTAACACAGACTTAGATTCCCTGTCTCAGAACTGATACATATGTACACAATTGATCAAAATAGTATTGAAATCGCAATATTCACGCCACAGTTAGTATATTTGGTGAAGGCAAAATATCTGATATGAAGTATGGTGGTACTGCAGACAAATCCCAGCCTAAAAATACTCATCTAGAAACTTAATAAAATATACTTATTTGGTACAGATCCTCTTAAAAAATCACACTTTGATCATATTAATATATTTTAAAGTGAAATTGTGAACATATTTCAAAAATGATAATCCCATATCGCAAATCATATCCAATTGCAATATAGGTAAATATAATCTCAAATAGTTATTTATTTCCAAATTGTGCAGCCCTACTATCTAGCTTCTTAAATATGAGGACTTACTGCTCTTCTCTTATATATATCATTCCACATTTCTAATTAGTGATGACCATTTTTCACTTTCATCTCACCTTTTGAACTCAAAATGACATTTTACGTTAGTCCTAGCTAATCACAGCGAGTCGTCTCTAAAGCTGTCGGGGTGCATCGGGTTTAGGAAAGTCAGAGATAACAGCTTGTGTTTCAGTCATAAAAAAGATGGCGTTCTATCAGTGTGTGTGAGGGGATGATCTCGCTGATTGTGTGTCCGTAATGTGGCAGCAGGCGGAGGCCACAGAGGACAGCTCAGAGGCAGGGTGCAGTATATGGCACGTAGACGTTGACGCGCTGCCAGAGTGGATCCTGACCTCAGTTCACCAGGTGAGTGTCTCTGTCCGTCAGAAAGTGAGCTGCAATCATTCGGGGTTAAATGATGTCGTGAGGGGAAGTGAGGTTAGAAGAGGGGGAGCTTTTATTTATTCTCATTCAGTCGCTGTCATTAAGATTCAAATTTCTCTTTTTACTGAAGTCAAAATAAGGTTATCTTTGATATGTGTATTTTGGTTTGCAGTTGTACACTGTATCAGACATTTTGAATTATCTAATAAGAACGCATATCTTTATATTTGAGTGTTTATGCAACACTTTATGTAGACATTTTAGTAACATTATTACATAATTGTTTTCTATCTATGGAAATGATTGCACATAAAAGTGATCTCTAAAAACATTATTACATAATGTTTTTAGAGATCAATAAACCATACATTCTTTGTGTATATGTACAGTATATACATACATACAGTATGTATAAATTACCTTTTTATTTGGGAGCATTGCGTTCTATACTCCAGCAAATTATACTTAACTACTAATTGCTGCAAAAGACGATTAAATAATATGTGGATCTGCAGGAAATTAATTGAAATTGTTTGAAAAATCAATATGTCTCAAGTGGGTTTGTAAAGTTTGATGCCATTATCAACAGTTAAAACAAGAAGAAAATTGATCGTTAGTTCCAACCTTGCACTTTTGAATACAAAACAAATCAAATGGTTTGGACATGTAACTTTATACAAACCAATTGATTTTGAGACATCATTGGTTTTCTTTCTGGTATCTGTCCAGGCCCAGTGGACCGTAGGGAAGCTGTACTGCCAGAACTGCTGCGCCCGTTTAGGCGGCTTCAACTTCATCAACCACAGCGAGTGTCCCTGCGGTCGAGACGCCGCCGTCCACCTCAGCAAGAGCCGCGTGGACCGGGACCACAAACACTGCGTCCTCATCGTGCAGCCGAGGAGGAGGCGGACGTCCGAGAAGGAACAGACCGCTGTGCTGACGGACGGCTGTCAGAGCAGAGAGCGGAGGACGGACTTCAACAGTTTACACCTCAACTGTGCTGCTCAGGCATCCACTGAAACCCCCCCGTCGTTCTCCTTCAGTCCTCTGTACTGCATCTCTCACCGGAGACGGCGCAGTTTGGAGGAAGACGCCTCCATCAGGTCGTCTTGCTTCTGCCCTACAGTGAAGTCTGCTGTGGAGAGACCAAGGACACGTGAGTACACACCTGTCTCGTATCCTACAAGTCAGCGGTTTGACTCTGAAGGTGAAGCGTCAGTCGTCGCCTGCCGACCGCTCGTCTCTGGAAGGACACGCTCCCCTCTGCAGAGGGTGGAGGACGCAGAGTCTTCTCCAGAGACCTCGCCTGTCCAACAGGATGTTCCCGTGTCAGCGCTGCTCCTCAGAGGGAGGGCCGTCTCTGACAGCGTGGCAGAGGTGGAGGAGGACGAGGATGAAGAGGAGATGGTGGTGGTATGTTGCTAGATTTACGCTCTACAGTAAATATATTGATACGTGAAAATACCCAGTAAATATATACATATCAACAGTAGAAAGATGTATACTGTATCTATAGAGTAGATATACACAATATGAAATGTACAGAATAAGTTAGAATACACTATAAGACCCCAACCTACACAATATATATATATATGTATGGAAATAGGGTACAAGATACATTATGCAAGTGTGTAAAGTATTGTTGTAAAGTAATTTAAAATATGCGTTTGTTAGGAATACTTTTGTTTCTGTACATAAAGACATTACGAATGTTTAATGTAAACAGAGACAGAATCTAAAATAATGTATTTATCCTGTGAGAAATTGAGTTTTAGAATAACATAAACACATAGACATTCAGAGCAGAAGCTTTGCCAAACAGTGACCTTTGCTTAGTGACATAATACAATTGAGATATTCTAACCTTGACACAACAATTTCCTGTGGAAACTATGATGTACCCGACAAACTGAATAAAAAACCCAGCAGAGGCCTGCAACAGTACTGGTTCTAAGCATTTATATAATCAGAATAAAAAAGTAAATAAAAATAACTACACATAAAAAATTAGGCAAAAATGTGTTTATTTCTTTAAGAGGTATATTACAAAGTAGTAGCCTGATTTCCATAAAATGTGCTGTAGATATTCCTGATCCCCAGAGGATGGATCTTGTTGTCACATTTTCAACACATATTAGTATATTATTATATACCCATAGACTGTAGATGTTAAAGGTCACCTATTATGCAAAATTCACTTTTCCATGTCTCTTCTACATCAACACGTGTCCCCTCTTCCTCATGTCTCTTCTACATAACCATGTGCTATGTAAAGAGACTCTGAAAGTTTCAGGAACAAAGATTCTCTCTCTTTTTGTCCTGATCCATTTATATAAAAACCTGTCTGAAAATGAGCTGATCAGAGTTTGGCCACTTTGTGATGTCATAACGATTTATTGGCTTGTGTAACCATTAGCCAATCACCAACCAAGGTAACAAGGTGAAAAACAGTATAAAAGGAGACCTTTAAGTTTATGCCAATCTCTGATTTGTGTGAATGTGATTCCTCCCCAGCCTGAAGCCTTCATGGCCCCCCCGGCCTCCAACAGACTGAGCCGGAGAGAGAAGAACCGTCTGAAGAGCGTCCGGAGGAAACAGAGGAGGAGAGAGCGATGGATGCTCAGCCAGCAGGTCAGACACATTGACATCAGGACTCAAACACACTCCTCACATTCCAGAAAGCTCTGAAAGTTAGTGAATATTTTCCCGTTTGTAGAAAGTTTAAATGTTGCAGAAAAAAGTTAGAACGGTAATGACGAAGCGGCTAAATATAAGTATCATTATTCATCGTATCTGCTTAAATTGAGTAGAATAATGTTTTGTTTATGGCAAAAACTATTAACTATTATTTTTATTATTTTTATTTTACTCATAAGAATTTCAAGGATGATGTCATTTTTTATTAAATTTGAAAAATTAGATTAAAACGGGGAAAAATATTTGTATAGGAATTATTTCTAAATATATTTGTGTTCAAGGTTCAAGGCTTTTATTAGTCATGCGTACATAGCTACAGTGTAGTTATGACGATGAAATGACGATGGTCACAGGCTCCTCCAACAGAGCAACACAATAAAACTGAAAAACTGAAAAAATTGTAAATACAAAAAATAAAATAGTGAAATAAAAGTCTATATACAAGCGATTGGAATATGATATGTTAGATACATAATTTGTAAGTTGCAGACAGATGAATGTTATGGATGTTGTTTCAAAAGTTCAGGTGTTTAATAGTCTTATGGCCTGTGGGATGAAACTGTCCCTGTGTCTGGGACTTTAAATGACATCATCCTTTTATTCCTAGTGCACCTTTTAATAAACTAATAATATTGTTAATGGTGATAGTTTGTGACTTACACTAAAACAATGTAAATAAAATGTACTGCATTTGAAGCAGATTCATATTGATAGATTCATATTGAACAGCTAGAGTACCTACAATTTCAGATGAGGAAAAGCATGCCTGCACAGTATAAAAATAGCTGTGTGTGTGTGTGTGTGTGTGTGTGTGTGTGTGTGTGTGTGTGTGTGTGTGTGTGTGTGTGTGTGTGTGTGTGTGTGTGTGTGTGTGTGTGTGTGTGTGTGTGTGTGTGTGTGTGTGTGTGTGTGTGTGTGTGTGTGTGTGTGTGTGTGTGTGTGTGTGTGTGTGTGTGTGTGTGTGTGTGTGTGTGTGTGTGTGTGTGTGTGTGTGTGTGTGTGTGTGTGTGTGTGTGTGTGTGTGTGTGTGTGTGTGTGTGTGTGTGTGTGTGTGTGTGCGCGCCCAGGCTGAGAGTGTGAGTCCCTCCCTGTCTGAAGGTGAGGATCAGGACAGAGAGGGCCTCACCTGTGCCGTGTGTCTGGAGGTGTTCTTCAGCCCGTACAGCTGCCAGCCCTGCGCCCACGTCTTCTGTGAGCCGTGTCTGCGCACAATCGCCAAGAATCGACCCACGAACACCCCGTGCCCCCTCTGCCGCGCCCTCATCTCTCACACCACCCCCCACAAAGGTGAGCTCACATGAATAAACCTGTCAATTAAAGTCAAAGTCAACTTTATTGTCAATCTTTCAGTTTGTGTGTACAGACCATAGACTGTATATATACAGACAGAGAGATCCAAATGCCGTTTCCCACAATCCTGAATACAAAAACAGATATGTATAACAATATGTATGCAAATATGTATATACCTATATATATACACAATCAAGGACACATTTATACATATGCACACATTAAGACCTAAATAAAAGCACAACAATCATTATATACAAAATAACAGTCACTTTAATATCTTTGAGAATGTACATTAGTGCAAGACTGTCCATAGCAGCGTAAAAAAAAAAGTGTCTGGTGCCTCTCCGAGACCTTCTTACGTTTCCCAGAAACTTCCCTTTCTTTTTTAGATTCCCTGAATCTGGATTCTAAACCTGTTTCTTTTAGACTCCCAGGATCGAAGGCTTTCAACCTATTTTAGACTCCCAGGATCTGGACTTTAAAGGTCCCATGTCATGGCCATTTCTACTGATCATAATTCCATTGTTGAGGTATACTAGAATAGATTTACACTGTGCAATTTTCCAAAATCACATTGGTTTCTCATACAGCATCTCTGTAAAGTATGTGTATTCACTCTCTGTCCTAAACGCCTTGTTGGAGCTCCTGCCCCCCCCTGTGAGCCCACTGTGCTCTGATTGGTCAGCTCGCCCACTCTGATCTGATGAGTCAACCACCGTTACAGCGGAACGTCAGTGATTATGTGTTACAATAGCGTTAGCAACCAGAAAATGACACCAGTAATGACAAACAGATGAGAATGCTGCGTGGGGTCTGGGTGCCGTGTTGGCGGGATGTTGCGCGGCTCGCTGCTGCGAGGAGTGGACAGTGTGAGCTGGGTTACTGGTGTCATTTCCTGCTTGCTGCGAGACATCGCGAATGGACGCGGGAAGGGGGGGGGTGCTGAGGGGGGCTGCAGCACCCCCATCTGCGAGGATCCACTAGCACCCGCAGCCCCCCCCCCCCCCCCCCCCCGCACGCCACAGTTTCTATTTGGGTATGGTCACGTCACTATACCCAGGAAGAAAAAGATAAATGTCCAACAAGGCGTTCTGGGGCAGCATAGACAGGTCTTTTCTGTGTTAGAGTAACACACAAGGGGACGGGTAATAACCGGAAAAGCATGACATGGGACCTTTAAACCTTTCGATTCCCAGAAATAAACCGATCGAAATGTCTTTAAGCCTCCCGGAGAAACGTTACAGTTCAGCGTAAGATATGAATAGATCTATTAAAAGCAGCGGCAAAAAGATAACCAGATATCCTATCAGGGCTTCCGTAGATATCTGACATGTTATCAGCTAAATAAATAGATGTTCTCCGAATACCTATGTCGCTCTTCTTCAGAAACTACATTTCCTGGAAGTGGAAACAAACTAATTCTGATTTTATATTTCTCTTCAGAGTTCAACCACACAGCGAAGACCTTCTTCCCCAAAGTGTACAACGCCCGCAAGCAGAGCTTCCAGAGTGCTGCGTGTGCAAAATGGCCGCTGCCCAGCTGTCGCAAACGCTTCCGAGTCTTCTGGGGTGAGAAAGAGTTTCCTCTATTTTAGTTTTCTTAAGTCTAGAAAGTAGTTTTAGATCAATCCTTTGAAAGTAAACAGGATTCTGTTTCTGAAAGGAGCTAGATCTGTTTATCGTTGGATGACAGGAACAACATCTGACTGTTCAGTGAAAATGAAAGGCTTATTTATTAGGATAAGATAAGGATAATAAAGTGATTTACAATGCTCCTGACCTTCTTTTCACCCTGTCTTTAAGTCATACCCTGACCTTATTTTACTTGAACGCAGAAATGATATTGCTTTTGTCTGGAGATTTAAAGGTGGGGTAGGTAAGTTTGAGAAACCGGCTCGAGATACACTTTTTGTTATATTCCATGGAATGCTCTTAACATCCCGATAGCAATGAATATCTTAAGTGCTTTGACAAAAAATCCATAAAAAAAATTCATCTGTGGAAGCCGTAGTACTGTAAAAAGCACGACCAATCATTTTAGCCGGCCCGGCTAAAATAACTGGATGGCCTACCTGCCTGTCAGCCTTCCATCTGTGCACAAACTTATCTCGTGCCCTCATTGGTCATGTGCACGTTCGTGTGTGTTGGAGGAGGGGCTCTGTAAGGAAGTGGCAGATTTTCTCCGGCTGTGTATTTTCAAATCCTAGCGCACTCGAGCTGGTTTCTCCAAAATTACCTACCCCACCTTTAAGAGTCAATAATAAACGTTATCTTTACAGAAGTTGCCAACGCAGCACTACATAAACAATAAAACAACAGTCACATAAAGTTCAGTAAGATATACATTATTGCATAATGGACTTACTGTACATGTCATAAAATAGGGTGTTATAGATACACAACACAACACCCTACCATACAATAAATTAAATAATTACACACTTTCTCCAATAGATAAATATCGCATTTAAGGATTTTTGCCTCATATCAACCAATATTAAATGGAAACGGAAATTATTTGTGTATTTGTTTGATTTTGAAAGAATACACAAAATCTCTTTTTTCCTGGCTTTTCACTTTTTATCACTATTGCAGAACATCTGGCAATATTTAAAATGATGGCAACTGCAGTGCAATGTACAGGGAATGAAATCAAACCTCAAGCTTTTAATTTTAATTTTTTTTACTATAATTTGCTTTTAAATAATAATTAAAGAAAGCCAAATGGTCTGTTGGCCATTACTTTGCTAGCTCTTGAGTTCCATAAATGATATGCCATTTAAAAAAAAAAGGATATTCTTCAAAACACGAAATAACTCCAAAAAGACCTTGTTCCGCACCAGTTTCCTTTGTTCAAGGAATTTCAAAATTGCAAAAGGTTAAATAACATTTTGGGTTGAACAGGTACGCATTGTCAGCTAGAAATAAATCCAGATCTAACGTAATTTGATTTGATTTATTTAGAATGTGTAAAACAATAATACAAAAAAATAACAATGAAATGAAACATGAGAATTATTATACTATAAAACTTAAGCAGATAAACAAAAATATTACTGATTCTAAATTATATATAAACAAATGGTCTACTTAATTACACGTCTGAAAAGGGTCGGGAAGAAGTTTACACTTATTTAATCCCACCCCTTCTCCCAAAAACTAAATGATTAACATATATATATATATATATTTAGAAATACATTTGTTATTGAAAAACAAACTAATTGTCTCCATCTCCCTTCAGGTGAGCAGAGGCAGACGGCGAGGCGCTGGCACTTTGCGCTCGGAGGCTTCACGCTGGACACGTTGGACTTCGGAGGCGTGCGCGGCTGGCTCTTCGACAACGGCCTGGTGATGGTCTACATCCCCGTCAACTGGATCCTGGCCACCTTCTTCAGTTTCTTCTTCATGTACTTTTTCTTCTTTTGAGACACAGAGGAGCGCTCCGCAGTTTGCAGTGCAGGTTTATTTTTATCTTTTTCTTTAAAGGTACAAGGGAATGTGAGTTCAAAGCTGTTATTTCAGCAGCAAAAATATCTCTGTGATGAGATACTTAGAAATCAGGGAGAAGGAACCTAACATTTGCAGGTAGGAAATTGTAAACATATGGTTTGAAATGTTTACAATATGTGTCAAGCGATGATTTGATCACCGTTTTATTGTTGCCAGTGTTGCTAGTGTTATTGCAATAATACCCTGCGGTGTCCTGATTTCCAGAAAAGAAATTAGTAACGCTGAGGTACAAAAAGTGGCATTTCTTCTGATCATTTTTTACTTTGCGGAAAACCTAGTAAATACTCGCTGTTTGGCACTGTTGGTAGTGATGATCAGCCAAAAAAAACATTGATGAATGATGCATGATGTCACTTTTTAGCAGAAAGAAACAGTTCCAAGATTTTAGAAAAATATGCGTGTTGGTTTTCTTTCAGAGGTAAAAAAAAATTGCTAATACTCTTATGTCTGTGTTACGTATGGTGAACAGGCTGGAAGACAATTAGCCTAGCTTAGCATAAACCTGGAAGCAGGGGGAAGCTGATAGGCTGGCTCAGTCCAAAGTAATGAAATTGCGTCTAAACGGTAATGTTCAGCCTGATGACTTTACGCCCTCTCAGTTAGCCACTTGTAAGCACCTGCTGTTTTTAAGACATGCAAAAGCTTCAGAAGTTTACCAGTGGTTCTTTTTCGTTTAAATGTGTCAAGTGCTTGGCAAAGGAATAATGTCTTCCAAGATATTGATTTTCTTAGCATGGAGATGTTTGGACATGTGTTCAACATGCTCAGGAATTAAATACTGTATGTATGCGGTAAAGACAGCAGCAGGTTTTGATGGAGGTGAATGATTGATGGACTGACAAAATAATCAGATACACAAAGGTATATAAAAAATCAGTATGCTGCCTTTAATTATTCTGTGCCTTCTGACTTTAACACGTATTATGAAACTGGAATTCACTAGCTTTAAGTTGTAACCCTCTGGCACAGAATATGATGTATGCAAAGGAAGCCAAAAAGACATTGAAATAAAGACTTCAGTTCATTCATTAATGTCTTTGTTGAGGAAAAGGCATGTGGAAAAAAGTATTGGCGTTCATACTGTATTATGTAAAGAGTTTATTTTTATGCAAAATAATAAATTGCAAATGCAAAAAGGTGCAACTAGAGCTATGCATAATCTGCTTTTCTTATTTGAACAAAATAGGGTAAGAACTTTGCATTTTGAGGAGAGAAATTGGTGGCAAGACTAAATCACCTGCACCTGTTTTAAGGGAACCTTTCCTTTGTTAATGTCTTGTTTCTTATCTGGTTTTATGTTTTTAAAAGTTGTGTTTGCTTGAAAGCTCATTATGCAAATAAAAACAGATGCGATTGAATTGAATGAATTAAAAATCGTTTATGATTAAATGTTTTAAAATGGATTTTCTATAATTACATTATTCTCAAGGATCCTTAAAAAAGTATTAAAAGGCAATACAATAATTAATCTAAAACAAGGACAATTCTAAGGACCTGTGACTGAGGAATACATATTAGGTAGGAACCTAAATAATTTGTTCAATAGAAAACATAAACCTTAGATGTATAATTTACTTTTAAAAGTAGGCCTACACATAGAAAGATTAACAGCTGTGACTATGAACTGTTGTCAATAGACAGGGAAATAATTATATTAAACAATTATTCAGATTTGTTATCTTTAATTAATCTTTAAAGCATTTTGTGATGGAATATATCCTGCTCTACATCACCTTAGACTTCAACAAAGTGGATGGAAAAGCCCAAAGCATTAAATACCTTTCACAATTATAATTTTTCTGTGAAGGAACGTTAATGTCCCACAGGACACACACTCTGTTGTGTTTCTGATGCTACCGATCAGTTGTCAGTCAGAGAGTGACGACTTGTTTGGCTCGTGAATCCTCTACGTGAGCGCGCGGCGGAAGACGAAGGAGCCCCCCCACCCCTCCTCCCTTACTCTCTGTCGGCCTTCAGGAGGGGCTGAAGGTGACTCTCTTCTCGGTTGGGATGCACAGCGAGCTGCTGGGGGTCGGTACGGCCCGCTACACGCTGCTATACCCCGGGAATAACGACTCACCTGCGGGGCTTTAGGGATTCACCACCCCGCCACCGTGCTGCTTCAAATCGGGTTATTTATTTTTCTTCCCTGTAGAGGACACAGCAGCTATCTAAAACGGGGTATCTATCTGCCTCTGTCTCTCTGTCTGTGTGGCCGGGCTCCGGTGGTGGCTGTGCATGCATGTGTTCTGCACCGTACGGGCGGAAAAAGCGCCCGAGATCCGCAGGGAGCATCTTCCCCAGCGGTAAGGTGGCGCAGACGGAGCCGGAGCGGCGCGAGAGCACGGAGGAGGCCGTGGACGGCAGCAGGATGGTGAGACATATCTCCGGATGACAGTCAGTGTTAGCGTGTATAGCTCTGCACCAAAGGAAAGGTCCTTTATTTACCTTGGGGGAACCAGGTGTCCTGCTTTGTGTGAGACTGCACTGCATTTTCTATTTGTCCCACGTCGCACACATTGAATGTCCCTCATTTGATTGTCACCCGTCTAAAACTTGGCTTTTTAGTCTAGTTACCAGCACTGTGAACCAGGAGTGTTGTCGTAATACTGCCATTGTTGATCCTGAAAATATCAGAAATGGATTCAGCATCCTCGATAACCCCCCAAAACACTCAAACATTTTCCCAAATCGGGCAATACTTTTTGTCAACATAAACTATAATGCTTATTAATCCTTATTTATGGAATGTATGCTAATTGTGCAAATTGCCCAACATATTAGTCTATTTGCCAGCTTTGCCCAGCTTTAAAGGAGCAAAAATAGCAGATTTCAGTCTCTTAAATCTTTAAAATTGACCAAAAATGCATCAAAATATGGCCACTTTCTGGTTAAAACTGCCATTTTTTCCCCAGAAAATGTCACAAGTGGATTCAGTGTCCCTGAAAAACCCTGAAAACACTCCTTAATTGTCCAAATCAGCCAATAAATGTTTTAACTATTGTCCACATAAACTATATTGCAAATTCTATCCAAATAGCTTTATTAGCATGATGATAATGACATGCAGCATTGCCAAGGCTTTGTACAATTGCGACATCTCAACATAAATATACATTTATAATGCACTGTTAAGTTCATAAACATTTTTGAACGAATGCAAGAATAACATGTTTACTTTACATGGAAAACACAATACAGTTTTTGAACGTGAGCGAGAACATTTATTTAAATAAAACCCCCCAAAACACAGAACAAAATAAAAAGTTAAGGTGAATTATTGATTATTTATGCTAATTTATGCTAATTGTGCAAATTGCCCAACATTTCATCCAGCAGTTTATATGTGCTGGAGACCCGTACTTTACATTTCTAAAATAAATATTGAAATCTAAACTATCTCTGTGCATCGCAGTAACATGCCCCACATTGTCCCACACAAGCAACCTGGTCACCCTCATTAACATATAGACTCTATGTGCAAATCAAATGTATGAAGTCGCGATTTTGGCGAAAAAAGGCAAAGAAACTAGCACACACATTTTTTTATGGTTTGATTTTTATTATCGGATGTTTGTGTTTCTCTCCAGGCAGTGCAGGAATTCAACACCCTGGTAGCGCTGTACCGGGAGCAGGTCATCTCCGTGGGGGAGATGTCCGCCGACTGCCCCTCTCTGCGGGCTCACATGCAGCACACACGGGCCAAAGGATGCTCCATGGCCCGGGCGGCCCACCATGACCTCAGCCTCATCTCTGTGTCCGGGTAAGAAAGATCGACTAGGGCTCTTAGGACTTATTCAGGAACATATTTTGGCTTTAGATAGATAGATAGATAGATAGATAGATAGATAGATAGATAGATAGATAGATAGATAGATAGATAGTACTTATTCTTTGTTTGTATGATTCAATCTTCATCTCTTCCTTCTCCTCCTCCTCTTCCCCTGCAGTCTGGAGGACGGGGAGATCCACCCTGAGATCTGTCGGCTCTTCATCCAGCTGCAGTGCTGTCTGGAGATGTTCATAACAGAGATGCTGAAGTCCATGTGCCTACTGGGGGTGCTGCAGCTGCACAGAAAAAGTACCCAAAAAATCACAATACTAATTTGCCACACAATGTCAAGAAACAATTAATTAATTCAATTAATGTTACAGTACATGTAAAGCCAGTTTCAATACATCCAATAGTACATGCATCACACTGCAGGTCTGATAAAGTGAATCTGTATTTGTTTTCATTCAAAACTAATGTCACAAGTTCCATGGAAGGGGAAAAGTTAAAATGAGATAACTTATATTTAGCTGTCCAACTTTCAGGGTCCTTGTACTAAGCCGTACTGCATGGCTTTCTGGGAAATAATTGATAGGTCTGAGCCATCTTTAATGTCACTCCTGTGCTCTTCCTGCTATGACCAAATGTCTGCTGACCATTTAATCACACATTGAATTCATTAAAAGGCATTGATAATATAGGTTATGAATCTATAAATAAAGCCTGGTTGTGAAAAATGCATTTACCAAAATACACATATTAGAATTTCACAAATAATCTTTTTCCTATGAACGGAAAGAAACACACTAAAAACCTTAAAATGTCAGAACCCATGTTATTGTTTATCTGACATGACCACTCAAATCCTGCAGTGTCTTATTGCACTAAAACAAAAATATGTACATGTTTCAGATGTTTAAAATACATTTGAACTAAACCTGAGGGTGTTTTTAACATGTAATACATATTGTTTTTTAAATCAAATCAATACTTCTTAAAATCAATTTCGTATATATTATATAGTATACTTAAAGGTGGGGTAGGTCATTTTGGAGAAACCAGCTCGAGTGCGCTAGAATTTGAAAATACACAGCTGGAAAAAATCTGCCACTTCCTTACAGAGCCCCTCCTCCAACACACACGAATGCGCACATGACCAATGAGGGCACGAGATAAGTTTGTGCACAGATGGAAGGCTGACAGGCAGGTAGGCCATCCAGTTACTTTAGCCGGGCCGGCTAAAATGATTGGTCGTGCTTTTTACAGTACTACGGCTTCCACAGATGACATTTTTTTATGGATTTTTTGTCAAAGCACTTAAGATATTCATTGCTATCGGGATGTTAAGAGCATTCCATGGAATATAACAAAAAGTGTATCTCGAGCCGGTTTCTCAAACTTACCTACCCCACCTTTAAGTATATGCATACCCTTTCCTGGCACTCGTTTCACAAAATATCTTTGGCTTTTAAAAAAAAGTTTAACTGCATTTTCAACTGCAATACAACTTTAAAAAAGGGTCAAATGTATGTTGCCATAAAACGTATATTTATGTTCTCTCCCAAGTTAAATCATATCTAAGAGATCATCGTTGATGTAACACACTGTTGAAACAACAGAGGGCAGTAGAGAGCTCGGTCAACATGCTTACATCATTATATTATTAAAACGAGGGAATTATATAAAAAAAAGACTTAGATTTATAAAAAACTAAATCAACCCTGTGTTCATGATTTGATTGTGTGACATACAGGGCTACACAATACTTCACTTTCTGAACCCTGTTATTTCTAAATTTGTTATAACTCCAGCACAATTTCCTGGACCCATTGCCTTAAATATGTGTTCTATCTTTGAGTTTTCATGTAGGTGATGCCTCATTGCTGCTGTCTGTGCTCTCACCTGAAGGAACGGAGTCGGAGCCGAGGCTGGACTTCAGGGTGGACGAAAGCTCGGACGCTCCCATCCTGGAGGAGCGCTCCTCCTCCCCCATCGACTTCCCTCAGGAGCAGTGGCTGGTGGGAATGGATATTGAAAATATAGAGAGGTACACCACCTGCAGCTGTGTTTTCCAACTGTTGTGAATTCAGAAAAAGATTCAAAAAATTCATCGCTATCTTCGTTTTCACAGAGATATGCGGGAGATGCGAAACCTACTCAGCAAACTCAGGGACACGATGCCACTGCCACTGAAAACCCAAGGTATGAAATGTTTGGTGTGGATGATATTCCTTACATTAGTGTCACACTATCTTGATAAGAGTTAAATGAGAAGATACTGATACTGTTTGTCTGTACGCTTAATATTAGAGATACCAATTAGCATACATGTAACTTAAAATCGTTTCTGGAAACAGCTAGCTCTATCCAAAGGTAATCCACCTCTAACTATATTGTTTTTTAACCATTGAAAACAGAAATGTAAGAAGGACGAGTTGTGTTTTTAGTTCTGGGACAATATCTTGGTCGTCGTTTTTACATGTCAGGTTTTATACAGCTCAAAATTTGATGGCAGGTGGAGTCTTTTACTTTTGGATGGAGTCAAGCTAGCTGTTTACGGTCGTTAATAAAAGTGGCTGCTCGTTACAAACAATTCCTCCAACAGATGCTTGACCAAACAGAAAATACAGTAGGCTTGTCAATACTGTAGACCAATGCTTCTCAAAGTGTGGTCCGCGAACCACTGGTGGTCCGTGAGCGCCCCCTAGTGGTCCGTGAGTATATTGGTAAAATTTCACATTTTAAATAAATGTATTTATTGAAATTGTCCGCACTCTCGCGGGAATATCTCCGCAATGGAGCGAGCTTAAGTTTCACTTTCGATTGCATGATATAGCCCAGCGCAGCACCTTCATCACACATGTTGTCAACTGTTTGTACCATTTTCAGGCGATTTGTAATCTGTTCTAGAAAAACGATGTGTTTTGGGATATTTGTGGAGTTAGGTGGTCCGCGAGTGTTTTTTTATTGGTTAAGTGATCCTTGGTATGAAAAAGTTTGAGAAACACTGCTGTAGATATTGTAAGAAGTCACTCTTCAAACCAAAAAGGAATTAAAAGGATTAAAAAGGAGAGAAAACTAGAAAAGAAATTAAAGAAAATAAGAAAAGAAAACTGTCAAATAATAAGGATTATGTACATAACTTCTCCCAACTAATAGACATGTACAACATTTAGGTATTAAAGGTTCAGAAGTAAAAAGGTCAAGAGCCAGGGACCCTGGACGTTGTCTCTTTGTTATCAGACTCCATCATGTCATCCTGACCCCCTTCATGAAGTGTTTGTTTGTTCCAGACGACAGCAGCTTGTTGAATCTGACCCCAGACCCGCTGATAAGACAGAGGAAGAGACGCTTCCCTGGACTCTGCTGCATGGTGTCTGGCTGAGAGCCTGAAGGCAGCACGACTGTCATAGGAAAGGACTTTCACTTTACGTTATTGTGTGATGTCGATCACATTTATCTTTCTATTCAGTTACAGTATTTCCCTCAATATTATCTGAAATTGTAATCTTGTAGTACCTGTTATCTAATTATATGCCATTTGTCTTATTCATCTTGATGTTACCTTTTTTTTTTTGCTTGTTGGTCATTTGGTTCTGGAGTTCTGCGACTCACCTCGGTTCTGTATTTGGGCTTGAATCAAGTTTTATTTTGGTTATTTAAAATATATAACACATAGATTGTAGTTACACAATAGAGAGCTGCAGGAATAATACCTAAAAAACGGAAATAATGAAGCATTTTTGCCCTTCCTGTTCCCTCGTCTCGAAGTCAATGGATTTGTTTCGAATGGGTTTTTGTTACACCCTTAAATAAGGTCTTTCATTATGCTAAATACATTCTGTTCTGAAACATAATATACTTTAATCAATACCATAATCATGAATTTTGAATATTTGATCCGTCTTAAAAGAGGCGGTTGTGGCTACAAAACATTTGAGCATCATTTGGCTTTAGCTTAGTGATGGTGACATTGAAGTCATGTGACCGGTGTGCTTCGTTTCTTAGCTTAACGTTAGCTTTTTTCTCTTGTGTTTACACTTAAAACTCCTAAAAGTGGCATTCATTCTTGAAGATAATTTTGCTGAACAAAACTGCAAAGTATCATGACATTTGTGTGCACCTTTTTGGGGAATAATCCAAAATCCCATTGGCCTTTTGACGAGGGAATCGGAAGAATGCTAACTTCCGGGTCAGCTTACAGAAATACGTCATGCCTGCAGAACTCTATATCCAGTGGGAAAAAGGGAACTTCTGAAGCCAAAGTGTTGCATTAGCCTGGCCAGCTAACATTCAGTATTCGATACATATAAAAAATGTTTTAGTACAAGCTAACTGTAAAGTACGATTTGTTTAGCTGGGTCAGTAAGGAGGCTTTTTTCTTCAGGTGAGTTATCTTTGCATTTTCTTTCCTTTCGTACATATGCTGCCATCCTTCCTCAATTTTCTTTGTGTGCCATTTTATATAATACAAAAATAAAAATGTACATATTCAGGCTATGCACTGGCATTATTTCTTTAGATTTTTTCGTGTCTCACTGCGCTTGTGTCACGCCTCCATGTTTGAATGTGTCGTGAGACGTTTTACTCCCCACCACCTTCTTATGTATCCTCCTGAACTCCATCAGTAGAAGCTCCTGCGATTGAGACCACCTGTGTGGTGTGCCATTCATCCACAGTGTAATCATACATACACTTATAACGCTACTTTCATTATAAAATGTATAGCTACAGCTTTAGAAAAAAATATGTGTTCAACAGTGCGTGTGTAATAAAGAAATGAAAAGTTAAGCTGCTACAAGGCTTTTAGGCCCTTCTGCTTTCTCCAAGATATATTTTGGGATAAACTGAGATACTCATCAACAACTGGCTAAATGACTAAGAAATGTCTGGCCACGCCCAACACGTCAAATACGGTCATTGGACGCTCATCGTACCCCTTAGGTGCTTGTTTTGTCCAGATGCATTGGTTCATCTGAGAAATGATAATGGGATATCCAGAAGACCGCTGTTCGTCTGTTTGTATGAATCCAAAACCTAAAGCTGACTTATATCAGCCGTAAATATCTACTTAACGGTTACCTACGTTCGTTACTTAAAGGGGACCTATCATGCAAAATGCACTTTTGTACGTCTTTTACACATGAATATGTGTCCCCGGTCTTCCAGGGAACTCACCAAGTGTCAGAAAACACAACCCTCTCTCTTTTCCTCCATACCCAAATCTCTAAAAAAGGGGCTGCAACGGATCTGATAAAAACTGATCCAGATTTGAACATTTCTCTGACGTCAGGACGGAGGAGCTGACCTATCAGGGGAATGAGAGGTTGCCGTGGCATGGTAACAGCATGGTAACAGCATGGTAACAGCATGGTAACATGACGCTCGTAACTCGGCCCCCTCCTTTGCAGGGGGGCGTGGTCAGCTGCAGCGCATGCAAAGACAGGGTGGAGGACAGCAAAATAGAGCGAAATGAGGCATGGCTAAAATGCATGATCTGTTTGGTATTTTGAAAAAGAAAACGTATAAATATACCTTATATAGGTATGGCCCTACAATATATTATTCAAATATAGCATGATAGGTCCACTTTAAGTTATCTAGTTAATGGTTACCCAGTGGTGGTTCTAGAACATTTTACATGGGGTGGCAAAGGGGGGGCAAGAGGTCATGGTGGCATGGGAGGGCCGACAGTACGTGGTATTTTATACTGTATAAATAACCTATTTATTGTTAAATCATGCCCTAAACAAGGTGTTCAGACCAACAAACTCAAATATAGTATAAAACTGCAGAAAGTACTCATGATACCCTAGAATTCTGTTTACTGTAAGTACAGTAAAAGTACTTAGTTATAATTAAGTACACAAATGACATCACCCATCTCTTCAGAGAGCTAAAGGTGACCTGTGCAGCAACACATTTCAATAAATATGTGTCAATACTAAGAGCCGCTAGATTGTGCTGCTGTAATGGAATATATGCAAGGAGAATAAAAACATACCCTGTGGTCCAGCTGGAGTCTCCTCTGCCTCCTGATCCCTGCCTCTGTCCCTCTTTCTGACACTTCATCTTTATTCCTCACATGCATTTGTTCTTCTTCACTAATGTCTTCATCTCCTCCTGGCTTCCTCCTGCTCTCACCCTCCTGGTCTCTTCATCTCTCTTTTCCTTTTCCTCTTTCTGTTCGTCCTGATCACTTGTAATGTTTCCATGTTGTGATTGGACATGAAAGACTCAACTTGCTGAACGTTAACAGGGTTTATTAACCAGTGCTGGCTCACACACGTTATACATGCTTACTGTGCACTTCATCACTGCTAGTGTGTCTATCTCCTGTGTAGACAGCAGGGGGCGCAGTTATACTGAGAGCACAATACATTCACATGAATATCACATTGACCTTTTTTTAGCTTTAAACATTTGGCTGTTATACTGCATTTAACATAACAGTTATCTGGAACTAGTGCAATTCTGCTGTAACAGTATCTTTAAGACTTTTAATTCACATTTGTACTACGTAATGACAATAAGTTGAATCGTCTTCTTCTTCTCAGATATGTCTTTTTGTTGTTGTTGACTCACTCCAGCTACTCTGGCCTGCAAGATTCTACTTGTGAAAAGCACTGGTAGCCTACAAATGCTAGTATAACTTTACACGTTAGGGCCAGCTAATAAGCAGGGCCGTCCCTCCCTACAGGCCGATCATGCAGACTGCGTGGGGCCTCATCTTGCGGAGGGGGCCTCATCTTGCGGAGGGTGCCTCATCTTGCGGAGGGTGCCTCAACTGAGCCGAAAATGCTGCGCGCTTATGCGGCGCAATTATGGCGCATTTCCACCATGGCGTGGAGCGCGGTTTAAGCGTGCCGTGTCGCTGCGCGGCTCCACTAGCATGAGGGAGGGGACAGACATCACAGACAGTGATGAGGAACACTGTGCTTTGTTTCAGGAGGAAACTGAGTTATTCAATCAGAAGAGACAGTTTTGATGTAAGAATACATATTTATTGCCAGGAATACACAAATGAATGTAATGGAGTTTTGGCGATTATAGGCCCCGTTATGCAGGAGTATCATTCGGGAGGGGAGAACCGATCCGATGAAACCCCCCGGGGTCTTGACACTGGTGGTGGTGAATTGATAGTTGGGGTCGGTCTGAAGGGGAATGGCTTAGCTTGAGCCTGGATTCAGAGGGACAGGAGGTGAAAAGGGGGGGAGGAGGGTTGCGTCGAGTCACCTCAAATGACAGCTGTCAGAGGGGAGAGCAGATTTAAAAGGGTTAGCGGAGCGCTATGATAGGCTTGTGAGAATAGAGCGAAGTGATTGGTTAAGCTGGGGAGTGACGCCCCCGATCACTTATTGAGAGGAGAGAGAGAGTAGTAACATGGAAATAGTAAATGAATGAGTAAAGACGGTCTTCCTGGTTGAACTTGCTCTGAGCTTCATTTAGTCTCAGATCACTTCCACATGTTCTACATCAGCTTCGTATGGCACCTTGGACATAACACAAGAAGAACATCCTTTTTGTTTTTGAAAGACAAACCTTTATTAATCATCCAAACATTTAATTTGATCACACATCCCATCAGTAAAGTCTGTTCAATGATTTCATGATCAGTTTCACTTTATCCACACCATGAATGTCTTTAATCTCAGCTATTTCAAACAGAATCATACATGATTTCCTTATTGATTATTATCATGATAAGTTATGTTCTATAACACATCAGAGCACCCTATTTCTATTTGGATAACAACAACAACAATTAGTCTGCAAAAAAATAACATTTTATTTCCCAAGCAAAGACTCTAAGCTATTTACAGGAGAATAATACATGATGTACTTATTGATCATGATCATGACAGTAAGTAATATCATTTTAAATAAACATGTTATGATGAAATAAGTGTTATAACCATCTGGGAACTCATTTGTTAGTTAATTTGGGCAACAATAACATTTAATCTGTCAAAATAATACATGTGATTATAAATGCCTCTATTGTTTTAGAAAGTGGCCAGAATAAAATATCTACAACAAAAGAAGCTCTGCTGCTTTCTCTCTGAAGACTCGTGCATTACAAGAGAAACAACAACATGAATCAAAAGAAATATCCAACACATATTTAGAGCAAAGTTTACATCTCAGTTCAGGTGAACAAGGATCCTCCTGAGCAGTGACAGCCTCCATGGCTACACAGACACAGGAAGGAGCCGGAAGAAAGTCCAACATTTACAGAACAACTCATGAGGAGATGTTGAAGCACATCCCATAATGTTTGATTGACAGCTGATCTCTGCACAGTGAAGACATGAACAATCAGCTCTGATGGACACACGGTGAGTTTAAGAAGTAGAAGAGTTCCTCCAATGACTTCAGGCTATTTGAGTTTACAAAACTCAGCAGTGTCTCCATAATTATAACAAATCCAAACTCCAGCATGTAGCGGCTGAGTGAATGTGGTGTGGACTCTGTGGAGGAGAGTCATGGTTTCAGAGATGCTGTAGAAGGACAGAATACCTGCTCTGTGATCCAGGTACACTCCTACTCTGGAGGACGGAGGACCTGAGATGGGAGTGTCGATACGGTTGTAACGAAATGTATAACTGTGTTGGTTACAAAATAACGCCCAGGATTTGTCATTGTGTCCAAATGAACTTTCATCCCCTGCTCTGATGATATTCTTGTATGCGACTGCTACTTCAACTTCTCTCCCTCTCCCTCTCCGCTCCACCTCCCAGTAACAACGTCCAGTCAGACTCTCTCTACTCAGGACCTGAGAATAACCAGTGAATCTGTCTGGGTGACTAGAATAAGACTGATGTTGTCCCATGAGTGTTGCTTTTCTGCCCCCCTCAGATAATACCAGCAGTGTGTGTGCTGTGTTTGGATCCAGTGTGATCTCCTGTGAATATGTTAAGAACCCAGCTCTGGTGGCAGGCTCTGCTGCTGACAGTAACACATCCACTTCAGTCGGTGAGACGTTTGTCCATTCCTCTCTCAGGACGTCCTGTAGTTTGTCTCTGACTGCTGACAGGGCCGCCGTCACGTCCTCAAAGTAGCTCAGAGGACGGATGTTGATGCTGGATGAGTGTGTAGGTTCACTGAGGGCTGACAGTGAGGGGTAGCTGTGCAGAAACTGGTTGTGATCCTCTGTGTGAGACAGCAGCTTCAGCTCAGCGTCTCTCCTCTTCAGCTCAGAGATCTCCTGCTCCAGCTTCTCCTGAAGCTCTTTGACTCGACTCACTTCTCTCTTCTGCTGGGATCTGACCTGCTGCTTCACATCAGAGCTTCTTTTCTCCATGAGACGGATCAACTCAGTGAACATCTTCTCACTGTCCACCACTGCTTTATCAGCAGAGCCATTGACGGCCTCCACCTCCTGCTGAAGCAGCTTCACCTCCTTCTCTCCGTCCTGGATTCTCTGCTGGATGTTTTGTCGACTCCCCTCCAGCTCTCTCTGCCTCTCAGTCCTCTCTGCTGCAGCTGACACTGTGTCGTGGCCCTTATGTTCCTCCACAGAGCAGAGAGAACAGATACACTGCTGATCAGTGCGGCAGAACAGCTTCATCACCTCGTCGTGACGAGAGCAGATGTTCTCCTGGAGCTTCTTGGAGGGCTCCACCAGCTTGTGTTTTTTAAAGACAGGCAATTCATAATGAGGCTGGAGGTGTTTGTCACAGTAAGAGGCCAGACACACCAGGCAGGACTTACAGGCTCTCAGTTTTCTCCCAGTGCAGACATCACAGGCCACATCTTCAGCTCCAGCATAGCAGAGATCAGCAGGAGCAGGTGGGGGTCCAGTCTTCTTCAGCTCCTCCACTAAAGCTGCTAACATGGTGCTTTTCAGCAGGACAGGCCTCGGGTTGAAGCTCTGCCTACACTGAGGGCAGCTGTGGATCTTCTTCTCATCCTCTCCGTCCCAGAAGCCTGTAATACACTTCATGCAGTAGCTGTGTCCACAGGGAATAGTCACCGGATCCTTCAGTAGATCCAGACAGATCGAACAAGAGAAGGTTTCCCGGTCCAGCTGAACTCCTTTCTGCGCCATTTCACCTCTCAGTAGCAGCGAGTGTGTGAGTTTCACTTCCTGAGAGCTGAAACTAGTGAGACAGGTTATCTGAACAGCATGTATGTGTGCAGTGAATGTGGCCTATCAGCTCTTGTACTTTACCCACATGTTGGTTACACCCCTCCTCCTCAGTGTGGATCTGAAGGGGAGGAACCAGGAAACACAGAGTGGAGCTGGCTGTGTCTGAGAGCAGGAAGAAGAGGGAGTGCTTATCAAACTCTGACTCATTCCAGGAGGAGGAGCAGCGCTCAGACTCTGACCTACACAGAGCCTCGGTTACAACCTGCTCTTCATTTGAAAAGAGCTTTTAGTTGTAAAATAAGTTGGTAAACTTACAAAATCTGAAGGGGGTTAAATACTTGTTTCCTCCACTGTAAATGTATAGCCTCAATGTCCTGAAATAGCTGATTGATTTAATAATTGATTTAAAGGTAGGGTAGGTAAGTTTGAGAAACCGGCTCGAGATCGCTAGAATTTGAAAATACACAACCGGAGAAAATCTGCCACTTCCTTACAGAGCCCCTCCTCCAACACACACGAACGCGCACATGACCAATGAGGGCACGAGATAAGTTTGTGCACAGATGGAAGGCTGACAGGCAGGTAGGCCATCCAGTTATTTTAGCCGGGCCGGCTAAAATGATTGGTCGTGCTTTTTACAGTACTACGGCTTCCACAGATGACATTTTTTTATGGATTTTTTGTCAAAGCACTTAAGATATTCATTGCTATCGGGATGTTAAGAGCATTCCATGGAATATAACAAAAAGTGTATCTCGAGCCGGTTTCTCAAACTTACCTACCCCACCTTTAAATGTAAAGGGAATGTCCACTCAAAGGTTAGTCCACATTATTTGACAATAAGAAAAAAACTAAAACGAATTTACATATGTGAATTTATAAAATAAACTGTAAATCTGAAATGGAAAAGTTGTCTAATGATAAGATAAGATAAGATGGACCTTTATTAATCCCCGTGGGGAAATTCAGTTGTACAAGCAGCCTAGAGGATTTGAGGTCCACCCCGAAATAAAGCAGGTTAAAATAATTAAATTGCACACATTTTATTTTGATTGTTTGTTATGTGTAGTATTTGTGTTACTGTATGTTCAATAAAGGTGATTTAGCAAAATACACCTGTAGAGCCTCAAGAGCCTTTCTTGTGCTGGCAGACACAGAAACATATTGGCGGGGCGCACTTCGCACGCGCACACACTAAAAACTTCCACGTGCTCCGCGCTCACATTTTGCTGGGCCCACGTGCCTTAGCACCGCTGCTACTGTATGACTCCATCCTAGGGGAAACACTGAACACACTAACTTCAATCCACTCACTCATCTGAAGCATTCCTCTAGAGCCAATGTCCCATTCAATGTCAGTGTTGTTTGTAAATGTGTGTTTGTAATGTTTGGTTTTTCCTTAACTGTAAAGCGGCGATGTCTGAAACGCTTAATTCTTTGTTTTGGCATGTATACGAGTCAGAGTAGGCCGTGTTAGTGTGTCCAGCAACGCATGCAGCTAACGCTACCGCCAGCTTAGGAGTTTTTATAATGTAAATACAGTTTTATATACAAGTAAGATGATATTGCATTTCTTAAAGTTGTTTTTTACCTGAAGGAAGAGGTCCTCATTTTGAAATACAGTTTGCTCTCCAAGTGAGAAATGAGACCAATCTGGAGTCAGAACATGGTAAAAAAAACCTCTTCCAACACCTCTTAACACACAGACTGCATTGATAGCAATCGTATGTTAATAAGAGTCATTTATAATATGTTCCCAACTACATAGTTATCTCAAATCAAACAAAAACAATACACAAAAATATATTTCTTAAGAATCACATTTAAATGTAATGTTTTAGACACATTTGTACTCTGCCTTTACAGTGATCTTTGTTTCAATCAAGTTATTTTCCATGTTTCCAATTGTCTGTCATGTGTGCAACCTCTGATTGCAAGTTTCACTGTGGTTCTTGCAATAACACGTTTTTTCAAATTCCTGCATTTTTTAATATAATAATAATATTTTAGGTATATTTAATTTATGTATTTGTGGAGCATTGAGCAATCTTGATGGTGTGCATTAGATTGTAAATAAGAATCTGAAAGTGTTGAAAGAAAATATATTTGTCTCCCCCTCGGTATCGTTATCCGTCAAGTCTCAAACAAAGAACATCTGGTTTACATCTCTGCAGCCGGGAAACTCCAGAGCTTTTCCCATCTCGTAAAAATAAAGGACACGATGGTTGTGTAAGAACTTCATGTGCTGCTATGTTTGGATATTAGTATTTCTTGGGAAATCACTGAGGGGGTTTTACCTTTCTGCAACAAACCCAAACTCAGATTGAGTTCTGCCTGCAGTGCCGAGTGGACTCAGTGAGAGGACTCCTAACTGCGTGAATATTAACATACTAAAACTACATGCCTTAATATCTGATCAAGAGGACTTCAGTGTACGTGGTAAGTCAGATTTTGCTTATTTTTTATGTAGCTTCACTGGACACAACCCTATTGTACTTGCTTTCTTTTGTTGTCTTTTTTCTTATTAAATGCATTTTAATACATTATGTAAAACACTCAATTCCAGGCATTAGGCAACAAAATAACAGAAGTTATGTTTTGCATACCAAATAAGGTCATAATGTCAACAATAAAGTCAGTATTAATGCAAGGAATATGAAAAGCTTAATCAGAAGAGGAATATTTATATTTGCATTTGGAGGATGAAGTTGAATTACACCAAGAACATTTTCACATGAAGAATTAATTTAACATTTCAACATTAAACTCGCTATCTTGAGAATACATATTACGGCTAGAATTTGGACATTATTCTGGAGATGCAAATTACAATAAGTCTTCCTCCGTTTGTCTCTTTTGCCTGGTTCCAAACTCTTCTGTATCTTTTCACTTTATTAATGAAATGTGAAGTGCTTACAAAAACAATTTTTTTAAATAGACTTTATTGAAACATTTGTAAATGCAAAGACAGATAGCAAATCCTGGAGGACGCACTGCATTAAAGTGCTGCAGCATTTTTTGCCTGAGTAGAGTCAAGCAGATTTAAGTTAGAGCAGTTGTTCGCTTAATAAATCCTAACTCCAGCCATCATGTGAACATGTTGAGAACACTTTATTAGGAAGTTCCTCTATGGAAATTCAATAGCACTTTGTTTTTATAGGTTATTGCGGTTGACATGTTTAGTTTGAAATCAACCTTTCCAGAGTAAGATATTTTAGGACCAACCTGTAGTCAGAAAATGGTTAGCCATAGCTTAGCAGGATGTAATAGCCTTGCTTTGTCCAAATTGAAGGAAAAGTATTTCTTCCAACACCTGTTAACACACAGACATACAGTATGGTGTATCTGATGATGATATTCTGGACATTATTCTCAGAGAAAGTGAAGTTTCCCCCCCCCCTCATGGCGTCTTCCCGTGGGTTATTGGTGCTGCTGCTGCTGCTCGGCTGGACCTCAGCCGGCCTCGCCTGTTTCTGTGACCGCTACCCCTGGGGGTCCTGGTCCTCCTGCTCCAGGACCTGCAACCACGGCACACAGTACAGATCCAGGTGAGACACACACATTGACCTAAATACTGTACTGTTGGGAAAATACTGAATGTTCTCTTCCAATATCAGAGTCCACATGATAACAAAGGTATCCCAACTGTAGCTGTGTGCATGACAGGATGTATGATTACCTAGAAGAGCATCAGGACTGTTTTAGGCATATGATAGCTATGTGATTAACATGATGATTCAGCCTCTATGGAGATAGACATATGACAAGCATGATCATTTCTGACGTGGAGCTAATCTGAACTAAACATTGAATACTGCTTTATATTCCTCCATCTTGTGACTGTGTAACTCCCTCTCTTGTATATCAGCATGTGAAGGACACTGTTCAGGAACTAGTTGATGCTCTGTGTGTGATGACTACTTCCATTCTGGAGAGGATCATAAATACATGGATCCTGAGATTGAAGCTCAAGCCGGTGACGAGTGATACAGAATGGCTTCTGAGGCCAGAATTAGGAGAAAGCGTGTTATCAACAATTTAGCAAATTGAAACCGAAAATTGAGCCAGGAAAATTGTGAAATACTGTAATTTGAAAAGTGTTTTCTTTCGTTCCTCTGCTGATTTCAGTTAGGATTGTGAAATACAAATGCCTCGTTCATATGATGCCAACATCTGCTGCATGTAAAAGTGATTTTTTTATGTTTCGTTTTTTGTGTTTTATGTTTGACAGGAACATTAATTATAACGATGATTATTACTGGAAGAATAGCTGCCGTCAGCTGTGTGAGAAACACGACAGGAGAGCGTGTAACGAGCAGAGCTGTCCGATCAACTGCCTGCTGACGGAGTTTGGGACGTGGTCCGACTGCTCGCCCTGCGCCCAGAAACAGGCAAGAACCAAAAACATTAAAAACACATTGACTTTGAGACGAGGGAACCAAAAGTGCTAAAATATTAACTAATTTCTGGGTTTAGGACTCATTCCTGTATATTGTATAGGTACAGTATGTGACACTACTTTTGTGAAGCTAAGACTTTGGTTAACCCATTTCAAGCACCAACACATCTTGTCCATATAATGAAAGGTTGCCTTTGTTTTCACAAGGTATTGAATAAATTGCATTGAAATTAAAATTGAACATTTGTTTTAGCTTTTGGGGGCAACATAATGTCTTTACATGGTGCTTAAGGACAAACGGGTGTATCATTAAAGAAAGGGTTGAGACTTTTCTGCGAATTGTGATATGAAGCTCATAGGTTTCATGGTTTATTTAAGTATCAAAGATATGTAAAAACCAAGAAACAGCCGTTAGACCTTATTGATCACTTGGTCATTGGTTAAAACTTTAAAGGTCCCCATATTATACTGTTTTTCACTACTTTATTATAGGTCTCAGATATATACAATGGTTGGTGATTGGCTAATGGTTACACAAGCCAAAAAAATCGTTATGATAAAGTGGCCAAAATCTGATCAGCTCATTTTCAGACAGGTTTTTATATAAATGGATCAGGACAAAAAGAGAGAGAATCTTTTTTCCTGAAACTTTCAGAATCTCTTTACACTGAGGGGACACATGTTGATGTAGAAAAGACATGAACGGGGATTTTGCATAATAGGTGACCTTTAAAGTGTACATTTAAATTGAATAAATACAAATCTAAACCAGTATTTCTCACATGTTGTTACCACAGTTTCGGACGCGGTCGGTCCAGAGGCCGTCCCAGTATGGTGGATCGGCCTGCAGCGTGCAGCTGACGGAGGATAGGCCCTGTCACCCCTCCACTGAGTGCAAGCTAGCCCCCGTCGACTGCAGAGAAGACTTCAAGTGCGATAATGGTAATTAGACTTTGACTGGTGTGTAAAAGAAGCAACGCAAAACATCACACATGTACAATCTTCTAATATGGTCAATTTGTTATGTTTTTACGTTTTTTTAATGATAATTTTCCTTGCTGATTGAAGAAACAACAAACTGGAAAAAGCACACTTTTTTGAGGCAATTTCGTTTCCATAAAAAGCCTACTTTCACCCTTCTGTTATATTCATCTCAAGTTAACCCCTTTTCAACTGTACAGTAGTGTCTTGCAAACATATTTTTGTTCTTAAAGTTGTTTTTTTATTTTCTCATACTTAATAAATCCCTACTTCTATAACGTACTACACATTTTCCAGCAATTCTTTCCATCTATATTACAATGGTTTATGTAGAACTTCAATGCCAAAATATGTTTCTTTTTTTTGTACAGTTATGTGCAGTGTTCAAACATTCCCTCTGTAAAATCATTTGACTCCAATATGTAAACAGAATGAAAAAGGAATACAATTAATTTTTTTCCATGATCTGTTCTGTAAATGTATGCAAATAAGCACATATTTAATAACATGTCTCATTTGTAAAACATTGTAATAATACAAAGATACTTGTCTTTGTTCATCAATATATATATAATCAGCCAGGGAAGTTTCTTGGTGTTATTAATTTCTTTCTAAGCACAGACAAAAATAAATAAATAAAATGTTATCTTCAACAAAACCTCCTTTGTGCTGCAGGACGCTGCATAAACTCCACGTTAACGTGCAACAGGCAGAACGACTGTGGAGATAACTCGGATGAGAGGGACTGTGGCGACCTCAAAATTGTGTGTCCAGCGGAGAAGAGAGTGGCCCCCGGCGCTGACCTGGTGGGGAATGGGTGAGCTGATGGTCAGAAAGTCACTGCTGAGTTTACAGTTGTCCTAACATTTCTTTCAGCTGTGTTCATAAATACATTCCTTTCTGTCAAGTGCTCTTCTGGCATTTCTTACAACACAGAATTTCTATTAGTACCACTTGCACTGCTTCATTAAAAGTCCTGTACCACTGCTGCAAAGACCGAAACACAATTATATTTATTCAAATGCTTGTAAATGTTGTTGACATAATGTATACAATTTATATATTTGTAATACAAATGTTAGCGAACAATAAACTATTGAAATGTTTTATTTAAATCGTTTAAGATATCACATACAACAAACAATACTTAACTCTAACATAAGCATATATTACATTCTTCAGTTTCTTGCTCTGCAAATTCTTTATACATCTGTTATCGACCAATCATTTCGGGCAGCCAATGAATTGTTGGACTTTGGTGCTAATTGCACAAAACAGATTCAATGAGATTTGACTTCTTACTGATTTGTTTGTGTAGGTTTGATGCTCTGGCAGAAGAGCCCAGGGGAGCGGTGCTGGACAACATGTTTATGGGAGGAAGTTGCATGATCAAGAGACCTCCGACCACATTGCTTTACCACCGCATCCCTCAAAACTTTGAAAGTTTTGAAATTAAGGTACTATTAATAATTATTAATTGCAATAACTATTGGTTTCAAGCCCTCACCACCCACATCTCAGTGGCATCTGTTTCCGCCTGTTTCTGCTAGAAAGTCCTAAACCAGAAACATAGTGACAGAAAAGTGGCCACAATAATAATGATGGAAGCCTAATGTTGGCTTGGCTCTTAAAGTGCAAAACTGCATTATACCTTTTTTGAAGGACAAAATATTACGACATTCTGACTATCTCAATTAAAACTGGATCAACAAATTCTGTGTCATTATTTCCATCTGCTGTAGTATGTGTGGAAGAGCAGCAATGGATAGGGATTTGCAATCCTACACATATAGGCTTCAACGCTACAATTTGAAATTTGTTTAGCTATTTTGTTACTGTCTTTATTATTTTAGACTTTGATTTACAAACGTTCTGGTTGTAAAGGTTGGACAGCTGGAGGACTTCAGCATTGCGCCCGAGCCGCTGCACACCGAGTCTGTCCATAAGAGATCCTCAGACTCTACTGCCAAACAACAAGGTGGAAACCTCTTTTTCTTCCCCATCTTTTTCTTCAGTGGAAGTTCTATGTCCCATAGCAGCTCTAACAAGGAAGCTTTTGAAGCTTCAAAGAAAACGGTGAGTGACTCAAACAATAACAAACACATTTTAGCAATATAATTGTGAAAAGCTTTATGAATGTGATGCATTAACTCATCCCTTAACACCATCCTAGAAATAAAAAAAGTGATGCCCAGTGAAAAAGTCAAAAAGTGTCCTTAGATCTCACGGTCTGTTACATGGTCCCCACAATGTACATACATGCACACACACACACACACACACACACACACACACACACACACACACACACACACACACACACACACACACACACACACACACACACACACACACACACATATATATATATATATATATATACGAATCTCTACACATGCATGCATTTACTTTTTTCCTGTTTTATGTCCTATATTTCCTTCCGTAGGACTCCAAGTTTTACAGGGTGCACCAGGTTCTTCCTGTATCCACGTTCAAGGTGAGGGACCCGGGGGACCTCGTCCTGTCGCTGCCTTTCCTCCAGTTCCTCCATGCTCTTCCTCTGGACTACAGTTACGCTCTCTACAGGGACATCTTCCAGCGTTTCGGCACACACTACTACGGCTCAGGGAAACTGGGAGGCCATTATGACCTGTTGTACCAGTACAGCCGAGAGGAGCTCACCACTTCAGGTATTATAGCACAACCAGGTGGTCAAAATCTGGAATTACACCCTGGGCTAAAGTCCAGACTGTTTCTGATGCTGCTTGGATGGTATACATCATTTATTTTCCAACTTGATATCTAACTGATGTTGTGTTATGTCAAATACTGTATCCATGTAAGAAATGTATGTTGACTTCCAAATACACAGATACGATGGAACAGGTTTTAAGATTCATTTTTTATTTGTTTTGAATTTTCATCAAAGGAGAAATGAAGTGAAAAGAGAATATATTATTTTATCATTACTAAAATGGGCCTTGCAATGTACTTTTAGTTGAATAAATGTACCAATACTCACTACAATTGTGTAAAAAATATCAAATTCATATCTCATGAAGCTATAAAAAGAACTGAGAAAAAAGTTGCGAACATTTAGAACTATCTAAATGTAAAAGACTACGCATACAGTGCTACAGTGTTTTGATTTCTTTGTTTCTGCGTCATGTTGCTCATCATCTCCAGGTGAAACAGAAGAGCACATCAAAAGCTGTCTGGGCCGAGAGACCACCTGGACCATCATCCTCTACACAGAACACAGCAGTGTAACCCGGTGCTCCGACGACAGGATGACTGAGAAATATCAAGGTTTGTTACTCACACTGACAGACAGCCCACTTTCTAGAACCAGAACTAAACATGGAGAAGCAACGTTCAGTTATTATGCTCCAAATATCTGGAACAAACTCCCAGAAACAGCACATTCACACAGATTAATACAATTAAAGATCAAATCAAAGATAAAAAAAACTATGAAATAAGAGATGAATTAAAGTGAACATATATACATATTGGGTCATATATACATATTAGATATATCTCACACTGAACTGTAACTTTTATTCATGTTCCTTTGTTATTCATGTTTTATTATCTTTGCTTTTAAATTATTGTTTTGAAATGCCATTTTATAATATGTTTCTTAATGCTCGTAATGGCTTTCATCTTCTAATTGAATTGCCTTGTGTTGAAAGGTGCTATATAAATAAACTTGCCTTGCCTTTCTTGATTCCTAACTCTGCTTTTCATTGCGTTCTGATCTGATCTTATCTTCACCGTGTTCCTTTTGGTCTAGGCTCGTACATTAAGGCAGCAGAGAAGTCTTTCTCCATGGTGAAAGGAGGTCGAGCTCGAGAGGCCGCGGCTCTGGCCTGGGAGAGGGAGCGCCCCGCCCCGGACTCAACGGTCTTTAAGAACTGGGCAAAGTCTGTTCTGGACAACCCTGCTGTGGTTGAATACAAGGTTAATCAAATACCACTGAACTTCAAAATGACAAAACTCAATTCTACAAAAAGCTGATGTTGCCTTCTTGTCTCAGAATCAGAATCAGAAACAGGTTTATTACCAAGTAGGTTTACACGTACGAGGAATTTGACTTGGTGTCGTGGTGCATACTGTACATAGTAGTAAAACAAGAATTCAAAACACAGATAGAGAACTAGAAAAATATACAAAATATAGTAAAATATGACAGTATTTACATTGCAATGGAATAAGATGGAATAAACTATGGAATAAAAATCGGCAGTAATACAAAAAAAATAAAACAGATATTGTTGTACATTGTGTGCGTTAATGTAATGCATAGACTCTGAGTTGTCTGTCTGTATTTGTCCAGGTGCTTCCCATCATAGATCTGGTTCGGGGGATCCCTTGTGCCGCCACGAAGAGGAGAAACCTGAGGAAGGCCCTGCTGCAGTACATGGGCGAGTTTGATACCTGCAAGTGCTCTCCGTGCCCCAACAACGGCAGGGCGGTTCTCTCCGGGACAGAGTGCAAGTGTGTTTGCCAAACCGGCACTTTTGGCACAAACTGTGAAGAACGAGCTCCGGACATTACTTCAGGTACAGCAGGACACAACATCCTGATGAACAAGAAAATAGAAGACAACAAAGTATTGTTCAACATTTTCTTTTGATGATCTTGAATTTGAATAAGGTAAACATTGTTTCTAGGATATGCTGTCTTTCCCTTCGCTTTGGTATGGTGAGAATAACCATGAGAAAGTGTGGCTATTAGGATGAAAGTCAAGGGCTTCAATTAGTGTTGTAAGAAAATCACAGTTTAATGTTGCAGCTGCAAGCATAACACAACTCCATACTATCAAAATGAATCCAAATAGGATCCAGAATCTGAAAGTGATCTTTTTTCATTTAATTATGAACAACACACAGCCTTTGTTTTATCTCTCTCATAGTATAAATGTATGTTTTTACCTCCCTGACTTGCAAATTCATGAGTTTGATCGTATGTGTGAGACCATGTGAAGAACACTGCAGTCTGTAGGGCAGTACTTTAGACGTTTAAGCTAAAACACAGTTCCATTTAAAGGGGACCTATCATGCAAAATGCACTTTTGTACGTCTTTTATACATGAATATGTGTCCCCGGTGTTCCAGGGAACTCACCAAGTGTCAGAAAACACAACCCTCTCTATTTTCCTCCATACCCAAATCTCTAAAAAAGGGGCTGCAACGGATCTGATAAAAACTGATCCAGATTTGAACACTGTCCTGACGTCAGGACGGTGGCGCTACGGCTATTGGGCCAACTCCACCAATCAGGAGGAGACAACCACGGCATTGCCGTTCGAAAGCGCTGGAGACGCTGTAGTACATATGCCAGGCCTCTAGATGGTGCTGTTACTCACAGAATCAACCCTTGCAAAAACAGAGCTATAAATTGTCAAATTGAGCGAAATGAGGCATGGCTAAAATGCATGATCTGTTTGGTATTTTGAAAAAAAAAAAGTATAAATATGCCTTATATAGGTATGGTCCTACACTATATTATTCAAATATAGCATGATAGGTCCACTTTAAACTAGGTTTGGTGATGTTTTGGTATGGATTGATTTGTAATCTCCACAGAGGTGGTGGATGGTTACTGGAGCTGCTGGGGGCCGTGGAGTCGTTGTGGAGCGACGATGAAAAGACATCGGACGAGACGGTGCGATAACCCCGCCCCCCTCAGAGGAGGCCAACCCTGCGAGGGCCCTGACAAACTCGAGGACCCGTGTCACATCTCCATCTTTGAAAAGTAGGAAAAACTGTTTGCTTTGAATGAGTCATTATTGAAAAGTCAAGGAATGTTAGGCAGCTAGCATCAGATCACATGGAGTAAAGTTAACTAAACATGGCATGGTGATCTCATTAAAACTTATTTTTCACTATTATTAACCCTCCTGTTATCCTCAGATTTACTTTACACCCTTAATCCTCTGGGGTCAATTTGACCCCAGTAGTTTAAAACTCAAGAAAATGATTATATTCCAAATGTTAACCAAAATGTATGTCTCTGGTGCTTTAGGTGTCTTAGCTGACTACCTAAATAACCATTTATATAAAACATTACCCCAACCTTCCCCCCCACAGACCCCTTTATACATCCAGAATTCCTATTATGTGACTAACTAAAAATATATAAACCACCATAAAATCTCACTGATTGAAATAACATGTTAAAGTAAGATCTTTTTGATGTTGTTAAGATTTTTTCTTTTACACAATCTTATAAGCACACTTTGAATGCTGATGTATACACCATATATGTTGCAGCAGACATTTCAACTTACATTAACACAATTAGGTTGTAGTCAAGCTTGTATTTTCTCTTTTTACATAAGTGTATCATTTAGGATTTATTGTATGTTCCATGTTTTTGTGTCCAGACAGGACACGTGTGACAATGATGACGACTTCACTATAGGCTGGAAGGACACGCTGCCTCCTGGTGTGGAGGGCTGTCTGAGGCCACAGAGGCCCACCAACAGCTTCCTCAGGGTAACACTTACACTACACTTTCCACTAATTTAGTCCTAGAAAGTGTCAGCATTGTGACATCTAACGCACATTGCAGCAGCTGCTATATTGGTGGCTAACCATGTAACTTAATAATAATAACTGCCTCCTCTGACAGAAAGCGAAACAGTATTATGACTTTGGTGAGGATGAGGAGTTCCAGTGCTTCACTGGCTTTGACCTGGAGGGCTTTCAGTTCATCAACTGTCTTCCTGATGGCACGTGGCAACAACCAAAAGGAAGATGCATCAGTAAGTTTGCCTTCTCACATGAAACGTTGTAAATTGGTATAATCATACATCCACACATTTCTGTAAGGTCATTCTCGATACACGCGAGGACTGTAATATTTCTGCTCCAGTGTGTTACATTGATTTAAAATCGTGATTCTCAGGGAAACTGTGCCTTCCTCCTGAGATCCCTGAAGGCATGACGCTGTTCCCCACCAAAGAGCAGTACAGAGTGGGGGAATCAGTGGGACTGAACTGTGACGAGTCCAGCCTGAGACCGATGCCATCGGGCTTTTACAAATGCAGCGACAGTCTCACCTGGGAGCCTCCCCTACCTGCTGACCTACGCTGCTCAGATGGTACAGTAGATTACTCTTTTTGAGATCGCAGAGTCATGCAAATGTAAAAACAACACTTCCAGAACCAATGCTTTTAATGCAGGTTTTTTGCAAAGAGGCTTAAAGAAAGTGAGATTCCCATGGTTTTTGCAAAGCGTCAGTCTAGACATAAACAATGTTATTTTTTAGATATACAATCTTAACCCATGTATATCATTAGTATTATTTATTTGAAGCTTTTTGCAAATAAAATGTTAGCGATAGTTCAAATCAACATGTCACTTATGGACATTGTCACATAATTACTGATCTTATTGTTTTTCCTATGTTCAACTGAAACTGAATTATTCAGAGTGCTAGCACTATGATTCAATCAGAATTGGGTCATAAGACGTGTTGTCAGACCACATAACTTAAAAAGAGTTTTGATTTTTAACAAACTGCCACACTCGAATGGCATAACGAGAAGCTATATAAATATTAAGTTTGAACACACTTTCAATAAAGCACAATCTTTGTAAGCTCTTCAATGGCCGGGAAACCATCACTTCTGCTGCGGTTAGTGAAAACCGTCCTGCATGAGAATTTTGCTTTATCATCAGTGTTTTCTAACACCATGTTTGGCTTTACGACAAAGAACGCTTCACAGATAAGGAGTAACTGCTTGGTTTGGCAGACTCACATCTGGTTCCCCGCCTCTGATAAAGAGTAGCACGCAGCTGTGTTCCCTTACTCCCATGCGTGGGAAATATCCAGGACTGTGTCCCCCAAACTAAATAAGACAGACTCAAATGAGGCTCGGGTTTCGTATGTAAAATACTATGCATGAATGAGACAGCTCAAGTCTGCTTTCTGTGTACTTCCTGTTTGCAGAGGAACCGTTTGTTCCTGAGAGTCGGTGCGGGCCAGGAGAGAAACTGCAGGACTCTAAATGTGTCTGCATTCAAAGAGAGAGCTGCCTGTACGTTTTTCTCAATCATTTTTCAATCTTTCTATCTATATGTCTTCTTATTTATACGTTATTAATTAAATGTTTTCAATAAAATCAATTGTATATTTGTTGTTAAATTATTCTATGTTCTTTATATTTCTTGATATACATGTATATGATTTTTGTGGACTATAAAACCAATATATTACAATATTTGATTAACTTGAGGGTGTGTGTGTGTGTGTGTGTGTGTGTGTGTGTGTGTGTGTGTGTGTGTGTGTGTGTGTGTGTGTGTGTGTGTGTGTGTGTGTGTGTGTGTGTGTGTGTGTGTGTGTGTGTGTGTGTGTACAGTTCACAACCCGAGACTCTGTGTATCCTGAACATTGACCTCGGTGTTACCGTGGCGATGTCCCTCTGCTCCTTCCATGCCGGTCGTTGCCACAGCGATCCGCTCTTCTTCGTCAGCGAGGGGTCATGTGACGAGGTGGATGCAGCTAAACTGGAGTGGGCCAACTTCAGAGCCAACATGTCCTCCAAGAGCTCGGCTCAGGAGCCCTGTAACCTCGACACGTGTTACGAATGGGAGACCTGCTCTGGTGAGTTGGTCGGACACAAAACATTTTACATTATGATTTTGTATTGATTCGAATAAATTATTTAGACAGAGTATAGCATTCTATTAATTTTTTTTTTAATGCTATTTTCTTTTATTCTGATGTGTTATGATGATTAAACCTTGCCAGTGTGAGACAACCAACTGAGGTTCAATAAAGTAATTTTAGCCAGCCTACGAATATATAAAGGGGCTGGATATGCAGTACTCAATTATTGGTTTCCCAAAAAAAAATCATTATACATTTTCTGTAAAACTGTTGACAACTTCAATTGGAGGTATTCTTTAATTGTTAGCATTTTTATTTGGTCCTACTGTTAATTCTGTGTATTTGTTCATTTTTATCGTAATAAGTCAAACGTTTTTTTTCGAGGCTAGTTTTATTCAACTAAAAGTCTCGGTATTTGTCTTATCTTAGTGATGAACATAAAGAGACATTTTAGTCAAGTTTTTGTACTGCATTTAGTACCGGAATTAGTTGTCTTTTTCATGAACTATATTGAATTTTGATATACTAAGAGTTGGCGTTTAATGAAAATGTGCCGATTCGTCATTGTCTTGTCATGGAAAAAAAGGTTGTTGACGAACATACATTATTTTGTCATAGTTTTCGTCAATGCTCACGGAAGCAAACCCTTAAGCTGTAATATGTTTTGTGAACATTTGTCTTGTTTTGGTTGTGCTCATGTTTTGAGAGTGTATCCAGCAGATGTTTTTTAATTACCATTACTGACCAAATACAGCAATGGCAAAAACTGTGTAAAAATAATCAAATGTTCCTTCACACTTTGAGATAAATTCACTGGAATTGCTTCATAATTTTTTAAGTTTTATTGTTAACTTGCAGTCACTCATATTCAGCATGGATTCTTCATTCATCAAAGTAGTTTTCACATTTATATAGTTAAAAAAAAGATCCTAACGTTAACTCTCGTCTGTTCTCAGCATTAAAGAAGTGTGAGTGCAAAGCTGCTCGGGACTGCCCCAGAGGTGAAGCCAACATGTTCTGCGTGAAGCTGACCCGGACCCAGAGGACTCGCAGCATGGACCTGTGCTCCATGGCCGCCCTCAAATGCATCAACTATCAGTTTGAGATTCTCAATGAAGGCGTCTGTGAGTCCAGATGATCCTTCATATGCTTTTCTATGATTCCATCTAAACATCTGACTGTAAGCATATCTTGCACAATGTTATTATGTTACTCATACACTTATACAACTGGAATGGCAAGCAAGTATACTCGGGTTCAAAGATCAAGAGTAAGTAACCCTAACCCCAACCAACCCTAACCCTTATCAAAGGCACACCTAACTGCTCCAAATGGAAAGCAAATAACGTTGCTAAATTGAGAACAATTGTAAATTATGGAAGTCATAATTCTAAGTATATTTTGAATAGAAGATTAAAGGTCAATGAATCCAAGATGGTGCTTCCATAAAATCCAGAAGTTTATGATATCAACCTTATGTCAAGTAGAATGATTGTGTAAAAACGACATCTCTGATTGGTTGAACTTGCGTTACATGGGACATGTTTAGTGAGGGAACATGCCAACAGCGTCTCCTCCATTGTATGCCCTCAGATTAGAAAAGTAACCACCATTTTGACTTGTTTGGAAATGTTCTCCTGTTACGAAAAAGTTAACATGTATATAAAATGTATTTCTGAAAACATTTGTGGCGAAACAAACCATGCAGTTGCAGAATCTGCCTTCATTTTAGATTGAACGGTTATTTTAAAATGTTATAGTTCCAAGTTCACATTCACAATGGTTTATACAGTATCTCATATAATAATAGTGTTTCCTAGAATCCAATGTTTTATAGTAATTAGGTCCATGCTTAATATTCAATGCAAAGGCCTTTCCATACCCATTTACACATGTGAACTCTGGCCAAGGCATAAAGCGTATTTGAGGCTTTCATACAGCTTTTCTTATGCGATACTTTAAAATGCGCATTAAAGTTGTGAATGGAAACAAGTCTCCGGGTCGGAATCTTGTCTGATTTCATATGTGTTGGGAAATATAACTGTTTCAATTGTAATGTTAGTTACTAATAAGCTGTCACTATGCTTTCATAATTTTTTTGAAAACTTGAATTACTTTAAAGACACATTGTTTTCTCTTATGTTCTACTTTACACTAGTCCAACATACTTTTGAAAAACACAGACCTCCATAACTGTAGAATCTTAAAAATAAAGATACATTTAGAGATCTAAAATGTATTGATATGATTCATTAACACGTTATTTGTTATCATAACTTTTGATTCATAACTAATAATTTGCAAAAGAGTTTGGTTCATAAGTCTTTATATAATAAAACTTAGTCAAGAGACCAAAAACATAGTTGAAGTATTTTATTTGATTGATTTAATTTTGTATGATTGAAGATTTTCTCTTAGTTTTAGAAAATAAGCTTATGTAAATATGTGTATGCAAATGCGTAAAAAGCACATGATTTGTATAATTCAAGTGTTATAAAAAAAAGAAATTCTATTTACAGTTCATTGAAAACAACATGTCCCTCCTTTATGTACAGAGTGAGAGAGCTCAGACATTTTTATTCTGGACAAGCCTCGATACCGACAACATGGACCTGCTCATTAGCACAGCGTCTGGCCCCCACCTCACATTCAGTCATCGTCTTGGCAACGCTGTCATCACTGGTTTTGGTGCAAAGGGGGGCGGAGTCTGTCGGGCAGTCTGAGACGTTCTGACACACGCATTTCGATTCTAGAATTGAAAAAAAAACAATTATATAATGATGCAGTCACACCACATGTTAACAGTTAAATGAATCTTTTGAACATCATTCCTATCGCTTCCTGAAATCGGGAAATGACATCGCTAATAACTCAGCAAAAGAACACCCAGTCAGCCAATTGAAGTTGAGTCATAAACTAACTCACAGGTTTGACTTATTTGTCAGAAAATGATAGTGAATGGTAAATTATTACCCAATATCCATGACAGTTTACAGACCTACTTAATGATTCAATGACATACAGCATTATTAATGAGATGTTGCTAACTTTCTATTATGCTAGTTATAAAGTTCTCATTGGCTAATGGATCATTTGGAAATGTTGGTTTGAAAATCGAAATGTGTCATAGCAAGCAAAACCTGAACTTAAAAAGGAAACATTAGCATTGGAAAACTTGGACAAAAGTTGAAATGTGAAAAGTAATGGCCAATTAGGGGCAAAGTGTCTGTGAGTCGGTTGTCTGAAGAAATGTGTTTTTTGGAAGGTTCAAAAACATTTTCCATGTATCATTAATAAATGTGTTCACAGAGTGTGTATTTTTGGAGCAATGGGCCCCAATCCAACGATTGTGTTTGGGCTGCCGAACAAATAGTCTTTTAATCCAATATTATTATCTTTCGGACTATTGACGTTTAGGATAATGGACCTTTAGAATAATCGGATGGCATTTTATCAATAACAATTTTCAGATTTTTTCTTCATGGCATTTTTATTGAATTAGTGACTTTCTGATTGTTCAGTGCAACTTTTTAAGGACCATGTTTTTCTTATTCAGTTAAAGTATTGTTTTTAAATATGTAGTCATTGTCCTGAATCCATTTTAGACGTATTGTCCCAACAAACTTGATGTACAGTGAGCTAAGTATATTAATATCCATGTCAAAACAACAACAATAAGGTCCAAGGTGTAATAAATAGGATTACCCTGACAAACTGTCCCTGGTTTGCAGTCCTCACAGGACAGGGACAGCTCTTGTGGCCCGTCACAGTCTGTCGCTAACTCGAAGCTCCGCCCCAAACAGCGCAGAGCTCCGAGCTGACAAAGACTGAGTACTCGGGTTCGGCTTGAACCGAGTCTGGCACACAGCTGCAGAGAAGTCCTAATGTGGGCAATAGAGGAAAACAATCGTTACATATTATTTTCTACGTAGTTCTAAAAAAAAGCCTTTCCCTGTGCATGACAATAATATGATTATCAAAAATAATACTTACGAGCACTGAGATGGCATTTTACACACACACTCAGTTTTTCCTACGTTCTCCCAAGGCTTACATTTCAGGCCAGGTGGAGGAGTGGGACCTGAGAGCACTGAGGAGAAAATATAGAGGTAAACTGGATTCAATATTTGACTGACATGCACAATTCCATTCCAAATAAATTAAAATGTTGCTTCAGAACAGATAGGGTTGCAGTAAAACATAATTATTAAATTGTATTTATGCTCCCAGGGGCAAAAGCTGCTAGCAAACAGATGTATATTTACACTTTCACATTGAACCTGAGAGTTAATGCATTGTACCTGCTTTACAATGAGCGCTGGCCGGTGAAGGAGACCACTGCAGACTGGGACTGCACATGATCTCTGACACCTCCTCCGCGTCCAGCACCGACCCCGCAGGACAGGACAGGAACACTCTGTGTCCAATCTGATAGGCTACCTCGATAGGGGTGGCTATGATGTCACTGTTGAGTAGAGGAAACCCACATGTGGCACCTGAGATGGGAGGAGGGGAACGTTTAGCAAGAAGAACTGAGGACATAACACAGGACTAGGATTTCTAGAGGTGCATAAAAGGGACACGTAGAAAATCTTTAGACAGTTTTAATCTTCATCTTAATCCACATCTGTGTTTAAAAAAAAAGTAGTGATATACTGATTGTCTAATGGCAACCATGACAGTTGAAAATACTCCTTTTTGGTTTAGCTAGCAATGACTAGCTTAAAGGATTTGGCAATATGTCATTTTTGCCTTGAAAATCATCTCAGTAACTATCAGATGGATTTAGATGTGGTGCCTACAAAATCCTAACTTTCTTTATTGAATCACTTCAAGTAAATTGAGATATCTCGCTAATAAGCAAATAATAGAGCCAGAAAGACATACTTTTACAAACCGGCGATTCTGTCCTCCACTTCTGGGTTTCAGTGCATTGAGCCACAGTGCCTCCAATAAGGTAATAACCGTCAATGCAGGAGTATTGCACCGTGTTTCCAACCAGGTAAAAGTCCCTGGGATTCTGAGAAAATAAAACTCCAGTTTATTTATAATACAGTAACTGGAACAACCTTTTTAAACGGCATAAATCAAGCAAACTCACCTCAATATATCCGTTCCTGAGGTTTGGGGGCGCTCCACATGTCTTTGGTGGAGTCACTGGGAGATCGAAGCACTGAGGCTCCATCGTCCTGCACACAAAAAGTTTACAGTGAGAACATTAAAACACTGACACCACCTTTTGCGAATTGTATTGTATAATTAGGGTATTTCATGTGTAGACTGGCTCTACAGTGCCTCACTATCACCTCTAGAGGAATACGTGGGAAAACAAGAGAGGACGGGCCAGTGCAAGTTAGCTATCATGCTAACTTAAGTATATATGTTAAGAAGACATAGACATCTTTGACATAACATCCACACTGTACACTCTCCACTTGTTGATAATGTTCTTTTGATAATGTATATTATGGCATATCTTACACATTGTACCTTTAACAAACCACTTCTACTGTATGTGTATAATCAAATTAAGGATATTAAGTCTTAAATCTTCTGTTATATTATGAAAAACAAGTGAGAAAGTCTATGGGTTTGCTTTGGGGTCATATATTTGGGATACACCCTGGTTCCCACAAGTTCCTGTGCATAAACTTACTGTAAGTACTGGATGTCTGGGTCCTCACAAGGCTTCACTTCCGACACCTCTCCGATGCAGTGCTGGCCATTCCTGGGGGCGGGGTTTTCACATCTTCGGGTCCTTGTCTTTTTACTTCCAAAGCAGGTTCCCCAGGAAGACCAGCAGGTCCAGCTGCCATCGATCACGCCTTAGAGAAAAAATAAACATTATCTTTGCTGTTCTTTCATTGACTGGACTGCATGGTAACATAAACGTACATTTTTTCCAGGTAAATCTTATAGAAATAACTTGCCGTTTCAAGACAATAAAGGAAAGTGGGTTGGACGTATTTGAACTTTGAATCTGGATTACATTTTTGTAATCTCAGGATTTGTTAAGCACTTTCTTTACACTGTTATTACATCTTCCAGTTACTCGTGAGGCTTTCTGCTCTTAAGCTCGTAACCCCACTTCAATGTATGATCACTGATTACATTTGAGCATTTTTACTTTTCTTTAGTTTAGAAAGTTGTCTTGCTTTCCTGCAAGCTTTTTGTATTGTAAGAATGAAAATGACAAATGTAATTTTTTCATGGATGTTTGTTCTTATGCAACCTTTGAAAGATCATGTTTCGATTTAGAAGTGCTTTTTGTCACTATTGTTTCTATGATAATACTATCAGTGACATGTATCTTGTGACATTTGATCTTCATTGAATCTGGATGTATAATTTTCATCCCAAACTAATTTCAAGTTCTGTGTAGCCTACCTGGTTGTTCACCAATCACAGCTCCCTGTTCACAGGCGTGGCCCGATGTTCCCGGCCGGCAGGCACAGTGACACTCGGACCCCGTCAGCAGCGGCTTCCCGTTGTTCTGGCAGGGCCCGCAGTGACAGGGATGCTCCTCCGACAGGTACTCCTCTAAGGCTCTTTTCAGGTGGACTTTCTTTAAACCTGCACACTGCACTTCCTTCACCAGCTCATACAGAGGACGCAGCTGGAAAACAAGTGTACACTTTACAACTGTGCAAGTATAGAAAACATGTATACACAGATAATGTACAAAACACCGGGCAACCCCTGATTCTGAAAACTAAAGCCAATGCGAAGTTTGTTAAAACTGCATTCTCTCATACTCAACTGGTTTAAAAGAGTGCTATTGTATATTCAAGTCCAAATATGGTTTTAAATAAGCTGGACTAATAGTAGTTATCCTGTTAGAAAAGGAAAGGTTATTTTTGTCTTTTTTGACAGAGCATGCTTATTGTTTAAAAAAAAGCGTGTATCAAATTTGAATGTTAATCCTGCCAGTATTTTCTATTTAAATTGCAAACGCGCCATGCTGAAATTACAAAATGGACAGGAGCAGCAACATAAACAAAGGGGGGTGGGATTTGGTGAAGGGTTAGTTAAGCTCGATCAACTAATCAAACAATAATTAATAAACATCCAGATGACAGCTGACAACCAGCTGTGTACCACTGTCATACCTTCATGTCTATGACTTCAGGGAAGTCTTTGACAGACGAGGCCCAGTTGTCATAGATTTCTCCGTTAGCTTCTGGGTTATCAAGATCCAGGAGAGTCAAAGCGCCCGTCAAAGCCGTATCTCCCCCAAACACTTTGACCTTGATGGGCATGTTGTTTACTTTGTTTCCTGAAGGCAAAAGGCAAAAGAGATTGCAATCCAACTTGACAAAATGTATTTGCATAACTGTGTTCTTTGACACTTCAGGGCAAACCTTTAAATAAGGATTTTCTGTTACTTACCATGACTGGATGATAAAGATTTTGTCAGTTTTTCACAGGTTGTCTTGACTTTCTTTCTAAAGAAACGGCGTTTCACCTTTCTCCAACACCTCTGGTAGTCTATATTTGTTGTACCTTTACACAAACAAGACAGGAGCAAAATATTAAGAAATGTTCTGATGGGAACCTTTTAATGCAAGAAAACAAATCCCAAAAGTCCATGATATTCTGCATCAAGACTTCTAGATTTGTAAGGCACTCTTAAAAGTGAGGTTTTAATTATTATCAAAGCTCTTACTTGTTGAATCGAGTGCCTGACGGTCTAACTCCAACAAGCCTTGGTATTCGCCTCCGAGTTTGCCCTCAGAAAGGTAATGTGTGCCGTATATCTCAAACAGCTGGCGGTAAGCAGAGTAGTCATACGTGTACGGCAGCGAGGACAGGGCCTTCCAGAAACCTTCAGCCAGAGTCAGATACTGAGGCACAGAGTTTTGGAACTGGGCCAGCTCCACTTTATTCTTCAGGATTATAAGTCTGTAGGCCTGGACGATTGACACCAAAACACCAAGAAGTCATTATTTGTACTTCTACATACACCGTTAAAGGTCCCCTATTATACTGTTTTTCATCAATTTATTATAGGTCTCAGATATATACAAAACATGTCTCTGAAGTGTTTGGCTCCAAATACCAAACAGATCATTGCAGCATCCCATAATCCCCTCTGTTTCAGCCCTGTTTCCAAAGTGCTGATTCTCTGTCTGTTACTTTAGATGAAAATAAGGAGCCACTCCCCACGCCCCTCTGAGAGATATTTGGTTAAAAAAAACACAATGGTGCTCTAGGAGGAGATTCAGGTGATAAGGTGGGGGGTGGTTACCTTGGTTGGTGATTGGCTAATGGTTACACAAGCCAACACATCGTTATGACATCATCAAGTGGCCAAAATCTGATCAGCTCCTTTTCAGACAGGTTTTTATATAAATGGATCAGGACAAAAAGAGAGAGAATCTTTGTTCCTGAAACTTTCAGAATCTATTTACACAGAGGGGACACATGTTGATGTATACGTGGATTTTGCATAATAGGTGAATAATAGGTTTAAAGCAACTAGTCACAAAGCCCAAGAAGAGCCATATCAATGGTTTCACTCTAAAGAAGTGTTATCATTACCTTATTGTCAGTGAGCTCTTTGTGGAAACTACGACGGTCGTGTCCCACCAAGGCGTTGGCCTGGATGTGCTGCATGTAGGACCAGGAGCTCTCGTAGGATTCATCGCTGTCTTCATTTTCTACAGTCACCTGCAGCACAAACAGAGTTCAGCATTTGGTTTCATTAGCGTAGCTGCTGAGAGCTTATTGTGCCATATTTGTTGCCATGCTAGCTGCTGACTTTAGGGATTTATGACAAGACAAATCTGATGATCTTATAGAATATGATTAATTACCTTAGATAACACTACCTAAATGTATATAGGTAAAGACGAATCATATACATCAGTTAAAGGGGCCCATTATGCTTTTTGGGGTTTTCCCTTTTCCTGTAGAGTGTTCTATGATAGGTTGTTATAATACACCGGTATAGAATGTTTACTTCAGTTGGATGATAAAAGACACATTCAATTATTAATTCACAGTGTAATACTTTATATCTAAAATCATATCATATTGGCTCCTTATTTGTGAACATAAACACTCACCTCGAAGTTGTACCTGAGGATGTTCTGTGGCAGTCGGTAAGAGTCTTGATGGTCCCCACTGAACACCTTCCGGCACTGCCCTCCGAAGCTCAGAGTGTTGATCACACCTGCTCTCAGTTTGCCTGTTAACACGTTGTACCTGTAATGAATGAATTAAAGAACTCTTATTAAGTAGATCTGTGGTTCTAGCCCTTTTTTTAAGGGACACTTTGTTTTTTGAAGTACACTGACCACCTTGGATTAAGTGATGTGTTTTAACAGAAACAAATGAAACTCCCCGGGAAACGTTTGCGATCCCTTGTGGATGTTAAGACCCCAATGTTCGGAGCCAATGTATAGGCAACAATTTCACCCCAAATATGACGATTACAAGCCTATATCACACTCATGACACATGTTCATGTTGTTGGAGTTGAAGCTACTCACCCTCTGCCTGTGACGCCGGAGTTTGGAGGCGTTTTGTCGAGGTCACATGAGTACTGGCTGTTGTCTCCATCACAGTTCCTCTCATCCAGACCATCCTCACAGTCCTGGTCTCCGTTGCACACCAGAGACTGGCTGATACACTGACCTGCGTTGCGTAATGTGTACAGTAAAGACAATTTATTCTACAATACATAATTTGAAAAAACATGTGAAAAGTTACCTCTATTATAATATTGGTAAAGTCTTGCTGAATATAAGAAAGTGTAAGAAAGTATTGCAACAACTGAGACAATCTGGTAAGACCCTGAGCAAAACCTAAGCAAAAGATTAGCATTCCTGGGCAAATTTAAATTAACGGTAATGTTTTGTTAACTGAAATTAGTTTTTGGGTTTTGTGAAATAAAAAAACATACTATGAAAGGGATAAAGTTCTAAGATAAAAACATGAAGAAGATGTGGTAGCAAACCGTAAATAACAAGATACCCAAGCAAGCATTCTTTATTGAATGAGACGTGGAAACATGTTCAGTGTAGTAATAAAACAAGAGATACATTGAGTCATTCTGTCATAGACTTCTATCAAATCTGCCCTTTTAAGGCGCCGCCTGTTGGCCCTTTCAAAGAATGCATATTTAGAGCACTTATACATTGACTGCACTTTTCAGATTTGATTAGTAAACATTCAGTGATGTAAAAATCAAGGTAGAAGCATCTGACTTTTTTGTAATCCGTGAAGTGGCCCCCCATAGGCCAATTAAAAAATGCAGGTTAGAGTCACTTCCACATTTAGCTAAATACAAGATGTCACAACATACCAGAGGTACAGCGGAACCGGTCTCCACAGCCTGTTGCAAGGGGACATCCTTTCTTTGAGACACATGGCTGTGCTTGTGTGGCTTCTCCTGAACATGGTGCACCCCCAAATTGGGCGTACACCTCCACATGGCGGGTCCGCACCTAAGAGAGGAAAAACCATTAACATGAAATAATTTTTTGTTTTTTGTGACATCACTTTATTTCCCAATGTTTTGCAACTTACTGCCGTGAAGCTTTTTTCAGAGTCACTATATTGTGTGTTTTTTCAACATGGAAGCAGCCACTTTTTGATTAAAACATCTACTATAAACATACAATTACGTTTTTCAAAATGTCGAGGGACCCTGTCTGCATAACCTATCAGACAACATGAATTGAGAGCCTTCCCCCAAGTTCAGAAAGTCATGCCAGGTTAAATCAATAATATGTTGCAGCAAATATTACGTAATTTGATCACAATCAATGGATATGCTTGCTAGGGTAAATTATAAATCTGCGCAAATAGTTCACATTAAGTTAATCCAAGGTTTTCTGCAATACAAATCTTGCTAATGAGCAATAGCATCCATCTCAATTTATGTAACCCCACTCTGCATTTTGTATCACACCTTGAGGCACTGAAATGAAAACCATACAAAGGATGTGTGGTTTAAAATACCTTTGTCCTGGAGCAGCCATCACACTCTGACCACTCTCCATAAGACCCCCATCTGCAGTCAACATGCTGACAGCTAATAGAGAAAGACATGGACAATATAAAACAATATTCATGTTATATTTGTCGCTTGAGAATGAACAGAAAAGTATTAATCAATTTTTTTTTTTTAAAGCTGCATTCTTGGGTCCCATGTTGATAGTGTGGAGAAGAGAGACATTGTTTCCACTATTAATACATTACTGTACAAGCGATAATATTGCAGTAAGATGTTAGGAGAGTTGTGTGTACACCTACCATACAGGACATATAAGGACGACCAACAATGCAAAAGAAGACAGAACTGCAACCAAATCCATCTGAACACCGAAAACAGGAAAACTGTTAGCTCAATTCAGTTTGCTCTACATTGATTATGTAGAGCAAACTGATATACTTTAAATCACAGTAAATGAACAGACGTTATTTCATGAGTTAGTGAGTGGTGACAGTATGAATTTATGTATTACTATCAATTGGAAAGGGATAACAGAAATACAAATTGTAGTGTAGATAAACTCAGACACAGTTTTAAGGTTACTGACATATAACACTGTCCATTTGTCGATATTATTGTAGCATCATAAATAATAAATGTGTGGTTTACAGTACCTTCATGATGTGCTTCTCAGAATATGGCCCTCTTGTCTGATCCACTGGAATATATATAATCAGCAGAGTGCAGAGTATTCAACACAACCCCGAGTACAGGAATTCCCAAACTGAAGAAACTCTAATCTGTACAACCAGATTTTTAAAGCCTCTGGGTCATGAACACAGACCCAGTGTTCTTTTCCACAGCTTCAATCCAAGGCCAGTGTTATTGCTCTTTTATCTACACTCAAACTATGACTTTATTTCCAGTAACACTATTCATAAGCCTGTTTGCTTTGAGTGCTGAAGTGTACAAAAAGAATAGTTAGGAAATCTGTTCTTTTGTGAAAACAGTCACATTTGTCACAGGAATAGTTGCATCATAGTTGTTTACGTAGAGAAGGACATCAGTACAAGTCAGGAAGATTTGGGCAAAGTTCACAAAAACCCCCCATGTGGCCCATATTTGAATGCATGTGTCTCTGTTGTTGCTCTGTGCACAAAATACATGTTGTTGTTTCTTATTAGAGTTATACAATAAATTCATATTTTTTATTGTTTTGTTTTTCAAAATGTGACTTTTTTACTTTTAAATACAAGTAAAATCATTATAAAAGCCCAAACAGCATCAAGTAACATGTCCAGAGGAATATAATCAAATAGACGGGAATTTGGAAAGCACAGACCTCTACCAAGGCCAAATGCCTTATCTCGCAATGCTGACAAAAACTGAAAAATAACTAATGTATCCAGCCCCTTGTTACTTTTCTAAACAAAACAACAGTGATATCCTCCACATCCGTCTTTTCTGAAAATAGAGCAGTTCTCTGTGTGCTTTACAAAGTCTATTGTGAACAAAGACTGCTTATAGGAAGTGGAATTAGTCACCATGACGTCGCCCATTGGTTTGTGCACTACAGTTTCAAAGCCTGGAGTTTAGCGTATTGGCTGTTTTATTCTAAATAGACAAAATCCACATAATGCTATATTGAATAAGAATTGAAACTAGCGATTGAGATCATTAACTTATTAGGAAAATGTTCAGTAGGTTAATAAATCAAGGGAGAAGTAGAGTCATTTTCTCATACACTTCTATTAATTGAACCATAGGAGTGGCTCCCTGTGGCCATTTGAAATAATTAACTTTTAGGGCACTTCCACATTGGCCACACTTTTCAGAAATGGATGTTTATGCTTGATTGCGATACTTTAAGTTATCATGCAGTTTGTTTAGAAAAGGACAAACTTCACCAAAAGCAGCTACACCTTAACTGGATCTTACCCAATCCAAGTACCACCACCTGATGACTGATCGCTCTGATATGGTTGTAGTGGGGCACAACAGGCCTGGATACGAATAAGTTGTGGTTGTTATCTAGTAATTTCTTATTTTGGGTTCAGCAGCAAGAGATGTGACATACTGTATATTAAAGATGAATACAGACAGTGTGTGGAGACGCCTTCATTCCTTTCTGGTGTTGCGACATTGACACTTTACCCTCTGGTGGTGGGTGTGGTTGGGAATGTTGTTTTGCAAATTGCAATCTCAGAAGATCCAGCTTGCAGCTTCTTGGTATGATTTAGTTTTCTTTGAACTTTTCTTTTGCTGTAAATAATTAACATTAACTAAGTAAACACAATGCTAACTTCACTATTTGCCAAGCACTTGAGTTACTCAACTTCAACTTGAACCTCTCACACCTTTACCGTTAATACATTGTGTCCTGTCTTTATGCTTGTAGATACAATGTGACAGGTCTACCATTGGTTAAGTCCAGGCTTTGTGCCTTTAAGACAAATATGTTGTTTTTATTCACTACAAATTCAGCTCTCATCCATCTCAAGAAGTGGGTTGTTCATACACTGCATGCATACACTGGAACACTTTGAGCGTTAACATGAACACATGTCCGCAGCAGTGCATTGAGAAAGGGCTCAAGGATTACTTGTTGTCATTTTGCCACACAGGATTGCTCAACAAAATGCAGCTTAGTCCATTATGACAGACACAAAACACATGACCCAACAGAACAAAACCGCAGTAGTAGAAGTGCATTCCTGAAGTGCATTTTTTTTTAATTGAAGGTCTGGCTCACTGACTTGCTGAACTCAGATGCAAAATAATCTCTTCTTCTAAAGCTGTCAATAAACTCTAGTCAAAAGTTCTGGGGTTATAATGACACGGAAAATTGTTATATGAATTGAACTTTTAAAACATGTTGGGGTTTTTTAGGGCTGTTTCTAATATGTATAGGCCGCATGTAACAGACTTGTAAGAGACTTTGGGCATTGAGAAGTTAAAGAGACCAATACTTCTCTCAGGAGTTTGTGGCATGGTAGTGTAAGTATTGCAATTACATATATCATGAGGCGGGGAATACAACTCCAACTGTATCCTAATGTCTGTCCTTGTCTGCTGGTAGGTAAATAGACCACAGTTTATATCATATTGACTTTAAGAGTTGTGTTGACAGCTTGTTCCCACACTGCCATATATGAGTGTGTGACTGCATGTGTCTCTGCCTGCATGTGTGCTATGCAAAGCATGTGGAAATTGTGTGGGTGGTCCTCACAGGCTGTCAAAAACAAGTTACTGCCATGTGAGAACTATATGCACCACAGACTAAACCTGACCTGTAAAGTGACTCCCAGGCTGTGAAATAAGGCCCTAAACATAGCAGTTCCGTAATATGTAAAAAGACTAGTGACTAAAACCTTATATTATTTTAGGTTATTCCTTTCATTCCTTTAGATTGTTCCTCCCTTTCATCTGCTTTCATTTTGGTACATGGAACTATACAGTAGGAACTTGTACTTTACAATAGAGGCTCACATCCTCATTCTAGTTACTGTTCATACAGTATAAAATACAAGTGAAAAGTACTTTGAACATTTCCTCTATGCTGGACTGAATTTCCTCCACTCCATTTCACAATGACACAACACAATATACAATATTGAACTTTTTTTTAACCAACGTTACATTGTGCATTTTGTTACTTTGCAGATCTAGCAAAACTACTACTTTTTCACAAGATACTATTTTGAATGCTGGACTTCTTCTAGTAGTTATTTAGGATGATGGACTTATGGACAAGCTTTAATGGAATGTAACTTAATACTTTTACTCAAGTTCTGTACAATTTTGATTTGTTGTTTCTACCTTAGTTGAGTATTTCCATTCATGGGATTTTAGTAACCACTATTCTACTTTTTCTACTACATTTCTTCCATATCAGTTACTTTGCAGATTTAGATTTCAATACAAAATGTATATATTTTGATATATTGCATAACATTTATATTGTCTTTTTAAACGGTGTCACTACTACTTTAAATCAATTGAAAGCTGTACACAACTAAAGCCATAGCATTTCAATTAAAAACAATACAAAAACATTTAGATACAACACAATATATATTAATAATAGAAAAAAATGAATGCTGAATTACATTTATCTAATTTTACTTTAATTATTTAACAATCCGAAATGATTCCAAGAGATCTGTTGGGCGTTATCCTGCAGTAGCCAGACACCACCAGCAGAAGGCGACATTTCTCTCTTACTCGGGAACAACAGGCTGCAAAAACAAACACACACACACACACACACACGCACACGCACACGCACACTCACACACACACACACACACACACACACACACACACACACACGCACACGCACACACACACGCACACACACACACACACACACACACACGCACACGCACATGTACGTAAAACAGATAAACACATAAACACACACGAGGAGAACAGTGAGCGGGCGTTTCTTCGACAGCGTCACCACCCTGCATGGAGCTCGGTTTCCCGGTTGGTTTTCCAGAGAGTGTCGGCGCTGTGTTCAGAGGGATTGTGGACTTCATTTGTGAGTGAGATATTGAAATGGTGTACCCGGTTTTGCAGGACCTCGTGTGGGAGCTGTAGGACGGGAGCAGACCGCTGTCCACTTCACCACAGTGAGTTACTTGTTTGTTTAGCATGTCCGTGTGTTTACGCTGCTGTATGCAAACCGACAGTATCATACACTGACATCCTCCTGATAGTGAATACTTCATTATTGTATGTGATAGTATCAGAGCATTTTAATCTACATATTCCTTTATTAATCTTACAAAATCTCAGACAGCACTGTGTGAAAAACAGCCGAAACTGTGATAACAAACTAATTGAACTGCCATTTATGTGAAGTAAGCCTTATTTGAATATATAATATACTAGCCTCTTGAGTTTTAAATGTTGCAAGTGGATCTGAACTTTAACATTAACTTCTATGAAAATTGTGCATTTAAATCTTCTTTTTGTATTACTACTAATATATTAAATAGAGGATGTAGCTTCTTAAAGCATTTTTGGCTTGTAACCTCTCATGCACAGTGTTCAAACTCTTTCTCTTTATATCTATATATATATAAAGTATTTTTTATATGTCGTTTTATATGTGCAAATAAATAAATAAATAAAGTGTAGTCTATAGGTGGTAAAGCATGGAAAGCAATTATAAGTTATCATAAGTGCTGTTAAGTATCCAAGGGGCCATACAGTTTAATTTGGAGGGACTTGCGTAACCTTATTATGTTGCAATTTTTAAGGGCAAATGTGCTTATATCCTAGAAAGAATAATATTACCCCCTGATGTATTTGCTAATTATTCAAGTGGTTGCTCACAATACATCTATCGTCAAAAATAAGATAATTATTTGTGTAACTTTTCTTATCCAAATGTCAAACATTCACTTATTCAAGCTTTCTTTTTTTCTGTCTCATGAATATCTTGAGTAGGAAATAATTGAGAAAAACCAGACATTTGACAATAGTTTTAAGGTACAAGTTAACACATTGTTATGCACGGTTAAGACTCCTGCTAACACTTTTGAAATCACAGTTTATAAGGTGCTAGTTTGTCAATAACACTGTGTTTACTATGCTGTCCCCATGGGGCCAAATAAACAATGACTGTGAGGCGCCAAATTCTATGTTCTTTAAACGACCCTACAGCTATATTCTTTCATTGATGCTGCATACACACAATGCCTAGTTAAATATTACATACAATACTGCTACAAATGACCTACATACCTAGATTCTTTTTACCATACTTACCAATGCCGTCATACAGCAGGCTCCCAAAATAGTCATGACCGCTGTGTTGTCAAGTCATCAGGGAAAGTTAAGAACCGTATTTGCAAGAACAGAGAACAAGGTCAACATGGATTGTATGGGACTTTTTTATTTTAATATTTAGCCTCTTTGGAGAACATGCGTTAGGTTGTGTT